GGGGTGCAATAACCCCAAGCAGAGCTACAGGCTGGGAGATGAGTGGTTGGAGAGCTGCCAGGCAGAGAAGGCCCTGGGAGTGATGATTGATAATCGGCTGAATATGAGCCAGCAGTGTGCTCAGGTGGCCAAGAAGGCCAACAGCATCCTGGCTTGCATAAGAAGCAGTGTGGCCAGCAGGGCTAGGGAGGTGATCGTCCCCCTGTACTCGGCTCTGGTGAGGCCGCATCTCGAGTACTGTGTTCAGTTTTGGGCCCCTCGCTACAAGAAGGACATCGAGGTGCTCGAGCGGGTCCAGAGAAGGGCGACCAAGCTGGTGAGGGGCCTGGAGAACAAGTCCTACGAGGAGTGGCTGAGGGAGCTGGGCTTGTTCAGCCTGGAGAAAAGGAGGCTCAGGGGTGACCTTATTGCTCTCTACAGATACCTTAAAGGAGGCTGTAGAGAGGTGGGGGTTGGCCTGTTCTCCCACGTGCCTGGTGACAGGACGAGGGGGAATGGGCTTAAGTTGCGCCAGGGGAGTTTTAGGTTGGATGTTAGGAAGAACTTCTTTACTGAAAGGGTTGTTAGACACTGGAACAGGGTGCCCAGGGAAGTGGTGGAGTCACCATCCCTGGAAGTCTTTAAAAGACGTTTAGATGTAGAGCTTAGGGATATGGTTTAGTGGGGACTGTTATTGTTAGGTCAGAGGTTGGACTTGATGATCTTGAGGTCTCTTCCAACCTAGAAATTCTGTGATTCTGTGATTCTGTGCATCATGAATAGGTGAGGGCAGCCTGTCAAGAAGTGGTGCAGCACCCCTTGCCATTGACAACTATACTTTCTTAATTTCACTTTAAGCCCAAATTTCCCTTCAACCCAACCACGGTGTGCTATATACATTCCCATATCCTGAGCTGTGCTGGAACATGCAGTTCCCTGTAGAATAGTAGAGTCTCTTAATTCTTTTAATAATCAGAAATGGGTCTTGTATTTCTGCAGGTGTGTCTAATGTAGTAAGTTCTGTATCTAAATGAGCTGTGTAGGCTTTAAGAAGTGATTGTTACCAAGGTGAACATCGTGCTGGGGAATCTTGCCACTCCTTTGATCCAGACTGAATGGGGGACAGTTTGGACTTTGTTGGGAACTCGTAACCATAGTTTCCACTGACATCCTCTTTCTGTGAATCGTATATACAGACTTAAGGGGTCCCCTGGCATTATTGGACCCATAGCATAGTGTTATGAAACACAGTGTATTAATAATTTCATTGTTTGTTTGTTTGTTTGTTTGTTTTTAATGTGTGACAGCTGTTTTCTGGTGATTCATCTATTCCAACTGACTGACTTCAGAGCTAACCAATTATTTAAGCATATTATTGAAAGCACCATCAAAACGTCTCTTGAACACTGACAGTGTTCAGTTACATATGAAAATTTATTTCCTCATTTTGGTATTGACTTATTTTCAGGATTATCTTGCCATGTGTTCATTTTACAACAAGTGGCAAAGCTCCAAATATGGGAGGAATTAAATCTTGTCAAGAAGCTGAAGGTTCTGATTTGAAATCTTTTGGTTCGCTTTGGGAACAGTAGATGGCTTCTTTCTTTGAGCCTCCCCATATTCAATATCTGTTGCCTTGACTTGCATTGTCATTCATCCTGATTTTTTCAGTCTGTTACAGAAAGAAAATCTGTGGGGGAAGTTGTTGGGAATTGGAAACTGCAGCAACAGAGTCTACAGATGACCTGCTGAAGGGACTGCTGACAGAAGTTATTAATTAAAAAGTAAAGGGAATGGTTCCCATATATTCTAATACCTCACAGAGAAGTATCTTGTTGACATATGCATATTAGTTTTCCTCCCAGCTATTATGAAAATATTTGCTCATGATGCATACCTGAAATGATCTTCCAAGTGAATAGGTAATTAGAGGGAAGTGTTGTCTTGTGCATCTAATTAAGAGATTGGTAGTATAATGAAGTAAAATTTCTCTATGTTGGAATTATATTTAATGATTGTTGGGATGCAGTAGGTAAAAGCTAATCATTATAAAACTAAGTTATTTGCTACTGTCATTTGATCTTTTATCCTCTCAATGTCTTTAGGTGCAAAGGAACAAATCCTCAAACAATCTCTCTGAGATTTTTGATCTGCTCAGCTCTTCAGAGTATGTGCTGGTGCCCCAGCAGTTTCAGAATCTCAAATTCAATAGTCTACTATTGGGATCTCTTTTTAAAATTTCTAAGTGTTGGTAACAAGCATCAACAGAAGTTATCTGTTGGGCTGCTATAATCCTTATGCAGATCTTTCTCCTTTACAACTACATGTGAGAGGAATCCATGGGTAACTTTCCATATCATCTATTCTAGGGCATTTTGATAGCTGAGAAATCAATATTCTCAAACATGCAAGTTATTGTATAATGTAGGACACAAAATGTTTCTAGCAAGATAAAGAATACCTTGAAAATCCCTTTCCACAAATATATTCATCTGTGCATTAATCCTTTTTGCTTTAGAGCCAAGAGTGGATTCCATTCTGTCTTTTCATTAGAAACACCAAATTGCCTGTAACCATTTCCCTAGCATGTTTATTAATTCTGTAGCTCTGTCACAGAGGTAGAGCAGCTGTGAAGTTCATACCTGTAGATGCTTGAAATCACCGAAAATCAGTAGTGGTAAGATGTATTTTAGAAGACGTCTTTCAAGTGTTAATAAAGTCCTGACAGCAAAAGTTTATGCTTAGATAATATCTAACTCTGGCATTCACTAATGATAAATAAAAATGCATATTCTGCAGACTTCCTGCAACACCCATGTTTTTGCAGCAGCAGTAGCTCTTACATGTACATATCATAAGCATGCAGTTAGACCAACATGCGTAATGAGTGGTAAGCTTCACTTTATTTTTATATATATAACTTAGGCATGTGGTTTTTATCACTTTGTATTTCCATCAGTATGGTTTAGAAGTATACTGTGGTAAAAGACAGGACGGCTGTGGTCTAACTGTCCTCAGCTTATCACCCATTCTCATCGTGGCCCACCTCCTCTGAACCAGTTGTGACTGGTTCAGTTTACAGGGTTTTTCCACTAAATAACCAAACCTTCCTGCAAACAACCCCCTCCAGCACCCCAAGGCTTAAAACATCAGCTTAGTCTCTTATTTGGGCTAAATAAATAAGAATAAAAGCTTGGTGTGAACACTATATGCATGTATAACTACACTTCAGGAGTAGTTGCAAATAAAAAACCTCAATCCATGCACTTGAGAAGCCCCATGAACTGTGAGGTGAGAGCTATGCTCAACGTTGTTCAGCATTCCTTGTGCAAAGAGCTTAAATATCTGTTTTTCTCTCTGCTTGTTCAACAGGGACAGCATCTTTGAGTTTTGCGTATGAGGTGGGACAAGGGGATCTGGGGATCATTTTATTAAAAGTAGTCTTGGTTCATTAAAGCAATCAAGTGTTTGCCTAGCCTGATGGACTAGCAGGGATAGTAGAGTGGGAGGCCGTGACAGTGATATTAACAATGCTACTGAAATCTACAGTAACTGCATTCGCCAAAATACTTTTACAGCTATTGTCTCTCCCTTGTATTAAAGTCAAGCCTTAACAAATAATAACATAGGATATCAACTAGTTCTCAAGGAGAGTTTGGCTAAAGTTTAGACTTCCAAACTTTCTTCAAATTGAAGACTGTAACACTGAAGGTCTTAAGTAGCTGCATTGGTTTCAATATGTTCTTTGTAAAATAGCTTTCTCTGTAATTGTGAGAACTGTCTGTTGTAGGTTTTCCTCTTCTTGCACTGGCAGGAGCTGTAGAAAATGGACCTGTTGTAACAGCATGATGTTTCCTCCCAGCTTAGCTGTTCAATAGCAAATATTTAATGGGTCAGCTTTTATTATTCCGTGTAAAACAGTTTTCCCATTTAATAATCTGAAAGAGCAAAAAAAGGATGGTTTTAAGGATCCTTCATTCCCTGAGGAATTCATATGAGGATGGAGAATCAAGTTTTCGAAACACCTTACTATAGGCCATAAAACAAACATAGGTCTCAAGAATACATCTGAAGAAAAGCTTTTATTGCTCTCATCATTACAGATTCGGTACAGGCATTCATCTCCAAACTTGTGGAAATGGTTAGCCCCAAAATGAACAAGCACTCTACCCCAACGATTCTACTTCTAATTTTTCCACGGGATTGTGAAAGAGACTAATTTGCACAACTTGGAGATGAAGAGTTTGAAGTCCAACATCTGAGAATTTTTCCTCTACCGTGAAAACAGTTTCTCCACTGAAGAATCAGATTTAAGGTTTTGCTCAATCTGAAAAGGTTTCTCTAAACAAAATGATCATTGCAATCATTTTGCATCTTTAAAAATACGGCGTGCAGGTTCTCATTTTGTGTGACAGTACTGCCCTATGGCCTGGTGAATTTCTTAAATTTCTGTAGCTGTGCACCTTCAAATTGCTATTTTTAATCATCTAACTCTTACAAAATACTATGCTTGCTTTTTAAAATCACGTTTAATTGATTCTCTTAAAGCACGTATCATTACAGAATATTCCGGTCCTGATTTGGTGGATACATACAAGTTGCAATAAATCATTGAATGCAAAAATGAACCTATGACCTATTTTGCATTGAACCTATGAACCTATTTTGTATTGAATGCAAAAATGAATCTATGAGTTTACAGCACTGAAATGCTCCTAATTAAGCCTTAAAAGCAATCATAAAATGCACCTCTGCTTTATCTGTTTATATGCTCTAAACTTCTTCATCCAAAACCACTTTTAGTATGAGAACCTTCTTCATCTTGCAATACAAAGTTTCTATTAAAACACAAGCTATGTAGCCTTACTCCGATTGACCACCTCCCTCTCAGTTCATTACTCAGAAAAAGTGAGAAAAAACAGGCTGATAGAAAAACACTATCGGTAAACCGCAGCAAGCCCTGCACGCTAATGCCAGTAAGTTCTCTTGGGACTTTTTTTTTTTTTTTTTTTTTTTTTTTTGGTGCGTTTAGCACTGAGGGCAGGGGAGCCTATGTGAACAAGCAAAGCAAATTGAAGATGATTTTGTAAACCTTTCCAACACCAACATTTATGTTTTCTTTCCTGGGAGCTTAGCTGGAGTCCTCATTCTGTATATGAAGAAGAGTACGATGACATAGTACATGGAGCTTTTCAGAAGAAGGACTAGGTATACTAGATGTGCTGCCTTGTGCATCAAGTAATCTGTAACAAACGTAAGACAGAAAAATCTTGTTGAACATCAGTATCGTACAACCTCCTAAAAGACAGGAAAAAACAAGGCCATGTGGTGTGTTTACAAGGATTGTGGTGGGCAGCATGTAAACAAATACGATGTCTGACTGTCCTCTGAGCGGGTCTGTACTGCTCGTAACTTCTAGATGGAGAGGGTTTCTGAGCACTAGACCATCTCACAATGCTGCCATGTTATTGTTGCCTGCAGTGCAAGAACATAACTCTAGCTCTTTCACCACTGGTAGCACAGCTTTTGTTTAAATTCTTTTACATTTTTTTTTTTAACAATATTTCCTAAATCCACATTCAAGCTAAAAGAAAATTACTTTGTACCAAGTGCTGTGCAGTTGCTAGTCTGAAGGAGCGTGGAGCGTCAGGTGAAGCACTCAGCATTTAACTGCACCAGATATTTAAAGCAGCGGCCCTTAATGCAGGCTAATGATCTAGTACCATAGTGCAAACATCTGCATCGGGCTAACAAAGCCCAAAGAACTAGAGCACCTTTTTACATCCCACAATGTGTTAATGCAGAGTAGCACAGAAGCCTTTCTAAATTGCAGACCCCAGAACTTTGGATATTTCCTGCAGACTATTTAGAAATATAATTTTCAGGAGCACACTGAGCAATATGCAACTCTCACATTTCTTTCCCCATTTTAATTAATTCTCATTACCTTTGTAAAAAACGGTGCTGTTTCCAGAATATGTGCTGCAGTACTCTTCCTGAGAAGGAGTCTCTGAAGAATCTAATGGAAAGAGTTTAAATGTCCAAATTAGGCTTTTCTTTGAGTTTAATAAACATTAACAGAGAAATGGGGAAAAGAAGAGCTAATGTAAACAGGGAAGTGTGAAGTTAGTATTAAAAAAAAAGTAGGATATTCAAGATCTGTCTGAAGAGCAGGTGTTCACCAGTAGGATTCATTTTCAGAGAGAACTGAAGGCAGGAAATTTTTGTGTAGTAGTGAGTAAGTGTTTGTTGCCTTAACTAGGAGCTTTGCCTGTAACCTTTAGTGAATGTGTCCATAAGGCTGTTGGCAGCATCATTTTTATTTCCAAACTACTATTTCCAAATCGGTTTGACCACCTGATTGTCACTGAAGTAGCTGGAGTCTCTTCCCAGAACTTAGTATTATCAGAAGCACAGAATAATTCAGATCAGAAGAGACCTCAATTATTTTATTTGTTGCTCAACACTGAAAAAAGTCTTGAAGAGAGTATGATTTGATGTTTCCTCTTTGGAATTTGCTATTTTGGCCATGGATTGTTCTGTAAAATAAAATACATGTATATTGTGCTTAAAGCAGCGATTTTGTGTTTGTTCTTGGTTATGGTACTTATATTCATTGAGACATATGCTTAAGTACATACCTCTGTCAAAATAATCTTAGTACATATTTTTGTCAGAATACATTTGGAGGGTTGAAATGTAATATTTATGGCTGTGTTCTGATGGGGTGGAGCTGTACTCATTTATAGTAAATTGAACAGAGGTAGGTACTTAAAAAAGGGTCGGTACTTAGGAAAGATTCACCTAACTAGAATAAGCATTTGTCCTAATGTTATTATCTTGATTTAAACACAGGTTTAAACAATTTATCATAGGTTGTTTCTTTTCTTTAAAATTTTACAGTCTTTTTCACAATCAGTCTTTTAACAATTATATGCGGTCTTTTTTTTCTTACATTATTCTTAAGCTATTACCTTACTGCCACCAGACCATGAAAAAGTAATATATTTAAACATTGTTTTAAAAGCCTACCAACCTTATTTTTAACTCCTTAATTTATTATAGCTGTGATTAATGTCAGAGGGATTTATGCCTGCAAGCCCTGGATAGCAGATAGTAGCAGTCTGAACCTGCTGTTTTGAAGAAATTCTGTGTACTGTCAAGTAACTGACCTGGCTCAGTGTAGACCTTTTTGAGCAATTCTAACTAACACCTGTTGACATTAAAGAACTGCTTTTTTCCTGTTACAAAGGGACCTTCACTTGAGGAGCACAGTACAGACTGGGTTTCTTTTCCTGGGAGGGCTTTGGTAGTTTTTACTGGTGTGTTTTAAGTATTGTTGTGCCTAGGAACACAGAAGCTTTCAGCAATAAGGACATACATCATTATTTCTCTAATTGTATTCAAACGATAAAAATAAATAAATAATAAAAAAGACATAATAATATGTAGAATGAAAAATAAATAATAAAAAAGTAGTATATACCTTGAATGGGGAGTTTAAAATTCTCTTGACTTTCATGGTCATATTTGCAATAATAGTTCTTGTTTGTCGTATTCCCTGGTAAAGTTAACCAGGTGCTGACTGAGTACTTATCATTTGTAGATTTCCAGACGTCTCCTTTTATGACATTTTTTGTTACCTCCTTATTTGCTTCATCAACCCATTGCACCCGAATAACTTCTGGGTAGAAATTCTCAATAAGACAAACATACAGAAGTTGATCTTTATGCTTCGTCTGCAGGATTTCAGAGTTCTCCGGTTTAGAATTTCCTTTGTCTGGATTTGTATTTGGAGGGAAAGAAATAACAAAACAGAGGAGTATCAATAGTGTGTGACAATAAATTCTGTCAGTAGCGTGTAGCAATAAATTTTGTCTTTTATTTAGAAGTTCTACGTGTTTCATTTATGTTTCATTACGTGTTTCATTTATGTTTTATTTTTATAATAAAAAAAAAATCAGGAAAATTAAATCAGAAAATGGTTTGGATCTAGGGGGGCTGTCGTTGTTCCTCTAATACTAGGTTTGTGTAAATGTTTGAATTAACACAACTGAAAAAGAAGAAAAAATCACACAAAATTAAACTAAACAAAAGCAGAAGAACATGCAATATCCAAATAAGATTTCTATATGCAAATAGCGTATCTACCTGTACCAGGCTTCTCGTAGGTAATGTGCTTTGTAAAACTTGCTTAGTACAAACATAGCTGAATATATCTTAAATGAAAAGCAAGCCATTTCCACAAACTAAATGTAGCTAATCTCCATTTCACCTGTCTCTCTGGAATAAAACTTATGTTGTTAGAAGTCCAAATCAGCCCAATTTTGTCTATACAAAGAAGTCTTTTTGATATCATCAAAGTGGATAGCAAATTAAGACTGCTTTTGTTACACATGCAAACTTCTGCCATACTCGTATAGGCAGACCTCATGGGTGATCATTTTTGTCTATGCTTAACTGCAAGTGAAAACTAGATGCAGTTTTCAGACTTCACTTTTGTTGTATTGAAGGTACGGCTATTTACTTTTTTAAAGGCAGTGAACAGATTTATTGTTCATCTCCTTAAACCACTCTCTCCCACTAGAATCTTGAGTAAATCTTTGTACTGGCTTTCAACAGTGGGATACACAGTTTACAGAGTGATCTGTCTGAGTGGTACAGTTTTCACGCCCTGTGAGAAAACACATTAATATAAACTTCTACCTCTGTCAAAATGCTTCTACTTTTATTTAAATGATCTAGCTATTCTATAACAATCTTAGAGTATTTCATATTTAGTTTTTAAAAACAAAGATGACGAAAGCATAAGACTGCCTGCCCTCAAAATGATAACACATTATGGATTCCCCTCATTTTGGACAGCTGTCATTGAAATGAAAATGCAGACCGAGTTTTCTGTTGTACCCAGAAATAAACTTTCTAACAATTTTATGGCACTTTAATGTTGATTTAGGAGTTAATTGTATCTCTATTCATCAGACCTTCCAGGGATACAAGATTAAATTATTTTTCAAAATGATTTATTTGTTCCAGAGTTGTATATATTCAGAAGACCATGATGTAGCTCTTGTTTCAGTGACATTGTGCTCTGCAAAGCTTCATGACTGTCTTAGATATTTTTTTAGATTTTCAAAGCTTAGAAAAGTACCCTGCATAATTTTGTGGTCTTAATTGGCTAGTTTGATATTTTATATATATGAATTTTATGTATATCTAAATAGAGAGACAGAGAGAGATGCTCCCATTTCCTATTTCATTATGACCATTTTAGACACTTGTACTAATACACAATAATTTCCACCTCTAGAATAGCCACTGCCTTTCCATTTACCATAAAAAGACTGTAGGCACCTGGCTTAAATGAAACACCGAAATTATATCACAGTACTGAGGAAACACACTGCTTGAATAACTAACTGTAAAAGTGTGCATGTGAGAGTCTCGTATGCACACACAGGTAAATGGGTGACAAAGGAGGACTGAACAATATATGTTTTGCCTCTATTCATGAATATATGTATGTTTCTGTGTGAATATATATACACACATAAATTGTAAGTATGTTTAGGGGAAAAAAGGATGAAAACATACAACTCTCTAGATTTTGATGTATTCTTAGGCTGATCTGTAAAGTTATTGAAGTCCTTCCACTCGACTTTTTTTTTTTCTTTTTTTTAGTTATGCTTTATTTTTGGTTTTTACTTTGTTGAACACTTTCCCTAAGACAGATTTGAGTAGGTGTAGGTCTTTTAAAATAGCATATAACCAAGTATATATAACTTGCAGATATGTCTTAAGCTAAAATCTGGCTGTTCTTGTTCTAGAGCAGCAAGTTTAAGCTGAGATTTTAATTTTCCTTGCTTGGATGATCCCACAAAATGCAGTAATCACATCGGATACTGAGAGCTCCTTGGGTCCCCTCCAAGTCATGGGGAGCCGAGAGCGCTCAGCACACAGACAGTGTTCTGGTCCTGCTGCCAGCGGCTGCAGACATTATCACTGATAACAACATCACCCAGTGCAAGCCTCCCCAGGTACTTTAAAGAAATAGCCATCAAGCTTCACTCCCCAGCTTTGCCATTACAAAATGTACGAAAACAGTCTTTCAAAGTACTTACTGGAAACGATGAGTTTAGTGCCTGTGCCAAAGACCAGATTGCCCACACTGCTATATTGCCTTACACAAATTGTTTAGGATTTTTTTTAGTTTGGATTTGGATTTTGTGGGAAATAAATAAAAAAATAAAGAGCTGGAATATCAGTAGTGTATGGCAATAAATTCTGGATACTCAACTGCAAAATATAAATTCTTAAGAGCAGTAAAATAAATGTTGACTTATTAACAATTTTAGCTCTCAAGTTAGTTATGAATATGTAGGATGGGGATAGAAACGTCTCACGTACAAAAGGTATTTTAGGTAAGAGGATGGGTGAATTACAGCTGTTTCTGTCCTTGAAGTAAGAATAAGCTTTTGGTTGAGCTGACTGTACTTGGCATTCAAACACATTTTCTATCAAGTGTTATTTTGATGTACCCAAGCAGTAGGTATTGATTTACAAACAAAAACAGTTACAAGACTCATTTGAATAACTGGGAATAGAAAATGTGACTTTCAACATTAGTTTTAACTGTGGTATTTCATAGAGAACGAAAATTAAAAAAGGCTTTTATAAGTATAGCACAGCAAATCAAACTCAACATCAAAAGACGAGAATTGCTTCAAATAGTCTAAACTCACTGTTGCTTATACAATATACAGACTCTTCTGGAGTCCCAGCGGCTGCAGACATTATTACTGATAACAACAATGCCTAGTGATGGATGATCCCACAAAATGCAGTAATCACGTCGGATACTGAGAGCTCCTTGGGTCCCCTTCAAGTCATGGGGAGCTGAGAGCGCTCAGCACACAGACAGCGTTCAGGTCCTGCTGCCAGCGGCTGCAGACATTATCACTGATAACAACATCACCTAGTGCAAGCCTCCCCAGGTACTTTAAAGAAATAGCTATCGAGCTTCACTCCCCAGCTTTGCCATTACAAAATGTACGAAAACAGTCTTTCAAAGTACTTACTGGAAACGATGAGTTTAGTGCCTGTGCCAAAGACCAGATTGCCCACACTGCTATATTTCCTTACACAAACCGTTTGCGACATTTTAGCCATACTAATATTAGATTATAAGAACCAACATTTGAATAATAAGAGTCTACATATTTGGCTACAAAGCTAGAAAATGAGAGTTTATTTTCAGCTAATACTGCTACTCTCAAATAGCCTTTGTTGTTATGTACATTAAATTCCGTTTCAAACTAATCTTTGCTATCACTTGTTTAAAAAATATCAGAACAAATAAAAGTTAATTTCTGTGGCATGGATAGAAATGCCATATACCCTCTGGATATTTTTCTAAAGAAAATTAATTCTCCTTCTGGGATTGTGAGTGCTTTTGACCACATGATTTAAAAATTGTTCATTTAAATGACTGTATGATATGAAACTGAATGCATGATCTTAAGCACTCACCTTAAGACCCTTGTTTGTCTCTTTCAATCTCTCCAAAGTTCTCCTTTTTAATGAATTTTATGTATATTTCTCTGTGCACTAACATAAAGGTCTCTAAAGATCCAAAGGACCTGGAGGTTGATCAAGCATATTTTCATCACCTTTTTGCAAAATCAGTCCTTGCTTTGATGATATGGAATTTTACAGTTTGTTTCTCTAGCTCAATTTGTTCACACACAAAAGCAGGAACTTATCACACAATATTACTCAGCAATCCATGTCTAATTTCTATGTAGTATAAACATGGTTTTGAGTTACCAAATATAAAGATGAAATATTGTACATGCAGAAGATTCATGGAGGTAACTGGAAGGGGTGTTTAGATAGTCCTTTTGTATCACTGGCAGTGTTGTAATTAAGAAGGATTATGCTTGCTTATTAAATAATTTAGAGGAAAAAATGAATCTTATTACAGAAAATGGTGTGCAAGAAGAAACCTTAGACCACTGCTTAATTGAAATAATGAAAGACACTGCAGAAAATCTGAGCCAGGCAGTCCTCAACAGCCACCACTCTTCTCAAGCCTAGTTGGAGAGATGCTTACTCATTTTGGACCCAACCCTCTGCATGCTGAGCTCACTGCAGTCTGTTTAAGTGTATGTGGGATTGGGACTGTTCATCCTCAGCTCCTGGCACACTTGCCTACTGATGATACCACAGGTTGTCAATGCCAAAAAGACAACATCACACATGCATCTATGCATGCTGCTGAGAAGCATCAACTTTTCAGCATCACTCCCATGCACGTCTGTCTCCAGGCTTATCCGCAGGGAAAACCACGTGCATCTTACAGGAAATCCTGGTTAAGGTGAAATCAAAGGCAACATTTCTGAAAGTCCAGGATTTCACCCCACAAGCTAATATTTTGTTTATTTATTTATTGTCTGCCTGCAATTAACCTGTGCTGAGGTGCATCAGAGACAGCTCAGTTCTCCTCTGCTGGAATAAACAGGCTTTTTAAGAACAAATTAATGGGGAAAGACTGTATCCTCAAACAAATTGAGATATGCAGAACTTCAGACATAGTTTAAGGTATCTGTTCACATCCACAATGTTCTTCCATATATCTCTTCTGTTCCACCTGCTCTGAGGCTAAGGGGTGATCTTCAGCCGTGTTTCTGAGTTACCCCAGCCCCTCCGCTCTGGGCTCCCTAGCCTTGCACAAGGGAACACAAGTGATATGGCACAGTGTATCCAAAAGAAGTTAGAATGTCAGAAATTCGTGGTTTATATGAAGTCCTACTGTACCCCGAGCTAAAGAGATGAAATTTGCTATTGCAAATTCCATATCACTTTTTTGTCATTGTTATTATACTTTCAATATAGCATATCACATAATCTCTCCTCTAGATTGTCTCGAAAGAAAGGGATAGTGAATTTGTCTTCCTGCCCACGAAATCCTTGACATTTTTGCTAAAGTCTTTAGCAAGTGTATGTAGTAATGGTAATCCTGAAAAGAGACTTCGGCTCTGCAGTTTTCTTTGAATGGCGACATTTTCCCTTATTTATTTAACACTCTGTCCTTTCCCCATAATACTGGTTTGGACTTTAAAGTCTGAGGGATTTTGGTTCAGTATTTATTGTCTTTCTCCATAAAATAAAATAAAATAAAATAAAATAAAATAAAATAAAATAAAATAAAATAAAATAAAATAAAAGCTTACAAATGCATGCATTAGTTTTCACCTTGTTGAGTTAAAATCACTTTAGTCCAACTTAGATGATATATTAGATCCAACTTAGATTATGTATAAATAAGTGTAAGTATAAACTACCTCTAAGCAAGAAATATTTTATAATATATGGTTGCAAAATATAATTGTAGCTTTTTGAACTAGTGAACTTCAGTGCATTTGATGAAATCGAGGTAGATACCTCAGTAAGATTTAGAGGTTAACATAAAGTATTTCTGCTGTAATTTCTGCTGTGAATTTATTTACTAGAAATATTAGTAGATTGTTCTCCATGTTACTTTAGAAAAAGTTGGCAGTATGCTTGTGAGGTGCCAGAGAGCCACAGCTGCAGATGTAGCAGAAGAGGAGAGACAGGGAGAACATCCCCATGCTGAGTAGGGTAGCTACTCCACTTGCGTCCTTGAGGGAAAAATTGATTTGGATTTTGGGTCACTCTGCTGTTCAGTCTTGGCTTCCCTTGTCTAAATTCTCTGAAAAGACACTTACACAAAAATTCTTCATTGAGTGTTGACATTGGATTAATATTCACATTCTGTTGGAAGCTTTTAGAAACTAATCTATTCCTCCAAATGCAAACATCAAACCCATCTCTCAAATCCCAGCCCTTCTTTTAGTTGCATTAATCGTAAGTCTACAGCAACTCTGTGTGATCACAGCTAATCATAAGAGACCAAAAAGAACAAAATCAAGTTAATTACATGTTGTTGAGACTTTGGCTCTTGATACATATAGCTCTTTCAATGGAAAAAGACTCTGCTCAAGCTCAAACTGTGATGATTTAATTGCATGAAGATCCTGTCTTGGTCTTCTCCATTTCTTTTCATTATTGAGCTAATGTTAGGTACTCATCACTGAAAAGACAGTTTGTGATGAATTGCCTGTTCATAAGCACAAAGTAAATCCATCCCCTTTTACTCTGATTAACAATCAGCTAAGAGCTTTGGCTCTTGTAGAAAAAATAGAGTCCTGCAGGATTAGATAAATGCTTGAAAATAAATTATTTTAAAATATAGATACTAAATAAATGATTACTACCTGCTTAACAAGGTAAGAACTTTCACTTAAAACAACACATTTGTTCTGACGTGGGCATTTCTATTAAATTGTAGTTTTGATTCAATTAGTCTTTCTGATAGGAATCATCAAAAACAGTCTTTGCTTGGCACGCTAATATAAGTTGCATTTAATCAGGCTTACAATATTTGGTAGTGATAGTTCCTCTGCCTTCTGTTTCTGTAGTAGTCTACCTCAGGGTTACAGCATTTAAAATACCATTTAATGGGAAAAAGAAGATTTTTATCCTCAACTTACCATTCAAATACATGTCTCTGCAGGAGAGACAAAAAACACATCACTTCTTCATGTGTGTTTTAGTAAACAAAAAGAAGTTTATTTCTACTGCCAAAGTGCTGTGTACGTGACAGAAATAATTAGGCACATATTATTTCACTTCTACTAGTCTAACTAAAAAAGCAATGGCCATTGCAAATTGCTCTTTGAATTTGTATTGAGAAGAGGATTTAATTTTTTTTTTTTCTTTAATGTTTAATTCACAGCTGCTTGATTCCATGCTTAATCCTTCAGTAGCTGAAAGAAAGAATGAGGGCTCTGGAAACTACTCCAGGCCATTTTCCACCAAATTTCTAAGGAGGAATACGATCATAAGTGACACAAACTAGCTCCTCAGTATATTTGTGATCCTAGACTACTGCATTACAAATCAACAGGGTTCAAGGTCAGAATGAAAAGCTTAAAAACCCAGGCAGGGATGGCACTGACCAAGGCTCTAAGCAAGCAGAGTGTCCTCTGGGACACTAATGCTGAATCTGTATGACCACACCAAGCTTCTACATTTTATTTTAAAGAAAGTGACTTACCTGACACGATGAGCTTTGTACCGGTGCCAAACACTTTGTAGTAATAACCAGACACAGTGCATAAAGTCTTTGCAATAACATTACAGATCTGTTACTCTTTATATAATAGAATCAAAGAATGTCTGAAGTTTGAAAGGACCTCTGGAGGTCATCTGGCCTGACTCCCTTGTCAGGCCAGGTAGGATACCTGTGCAAGGATACCTCGTGCAGGTTTTCCAGGACCATGTCCAGGCAGCTTTTGGAGATCTCCAAGAGGGAGACTCCACAAACTCTCCGGTCAACCTGTGCCAGTGCTCCTTCACCCTCACAGCAGAAAAGTGTTTTATGATGTTTAGAGGGAACCTCCTGTGTTTCAGTTGGTGCCTATTGCCTCTTGTCCTGGCACTGGACACCACTGAAGAGACCGTGGCTCTGTCCACTTTGCACCTTCCCTTCATTTATTTCTAGACAATGATTGAATCCCCCTGAGCTTCCTCTTCTCTGTGCTGAACAGTCCCAGCTCTCTCAGCTGCTGTGTGTATGAGAGATGTTCCAATCCCTTAATCATCGTTATGGCCCTATGTTGGACCCTGTCTAGTATGTTCATGTCTCTTTAGTGCTGTGGAGCCCAGAGCTGGATTCAGCACTCCAGGTGGGGCCTCCCCAGAGCCAAGCAAAGGGAAAGGATCACCTCCCTCAGCTGCTGGCAGCACTTTGCCTCATGCAGCTCAAGGTACTGACAGCCATCTTGGCAGCAAGGACACATGGCAATACATGGGTAAATTTTTAAAGACAAACAGATTTGCTGTTTAATCAACTTTTAGGTCATGGAAAAGGGGCAGCAACTTAAACTTTACCAAAAAGAAAATAAAAAGTGTGTGGAGATTTTGAGGACAGGTATGTTTTTAAATGGGCAGGCTTCATCTCAATTAAAATTAGTTTTCTGAAAGTTTAGGTGGACAGTACTAAGCACCTTGGTTCCATATCTGCTCTATGGAGAGAGGCAGCACCAGCAGAAGATGTATTAGTTCTATTAACTAAGTAAAATGCTCCTTTAAAGCTCCATAAAATCAATCCTAGAATTAGCGAATGTTATGATGAGATCTTTGCAGCACAAAATTCCTGATCGAAGTTTTTGTTGTACAAATATTAAGCAAAACCCTGACTAGATTGAAATCAACATCAAAACTCCCACTAACTAGAAACCCCCATTATCAGATGGACAAAATTAGGCAAACTGCTTTCATCCCAGGTGCTAAGTATCAAAGCGGCCAAAATTTACTTGATGCAGGATAATTTGATTAAGTATGCCAATATTTTGGGAGGGAAGGAAAGTGTCTCCACAGGTAGGCATTCTTAATAATAATAATCATAACTGATAGCAAGAGGTTTCTGCAAAAAGTAGTAAGAAAGAGTATCCTTTCAATTATGCATATCTTCAGACAGTTCTGGACATACTTGAGATAACTCCTGTCATTTGGTATGGTCAGACATAATCCCAAAAGAAAGCTTCTTGCTCTTCAAGTAATTTGCATAACCCCAAATTGACATTTTCTTTCAGAATGAGTTAGAAATATCACAGAAGTTGAGTATGCATCATTAAAGACAAAAATATCTTTTAGTTCTCTGAATGCTATATTTACCATATTTAAATTCATATTTAAGAAGAAAATAATAAGAGGGTTAGTTATACATCTACACTTCAATAATTGCTTCATTTTCCCAATTTCATACATAAATAAAAAAATGATGTTGTGTTCTGCATCTGGAAATGCTCTTTATGGGGGAAATTCTGCAAAGCATTCAGTAGGGTTAAAACTAGCAGAAGCTAAGAAACCAGAGCACAGCTTACAAACAATATCTAACTATTGAAATGCATTTCAGAAAAAGTAAGTTTTATGTTTCACACTTACCTGAAACAATAAGCTTAGTTCCAGTTCCAAATATTTTAACATCAGCATCCCACAGTCTGATACTACTTAGCAATATCTACTGCACTTCTTTTTTCTTTCACATGCTACAGAAAATGTCTTTCAAATTTAGAGGTTGGTAGTATCTTGCCCAGTGTAATATCTTAATTTTTAACATGGACTGGAGTGGAATATTTAGAAGTGCTATTATTTTTTCGTGATGAGTAAAAAGTCTGGGTTTTAAAATACACCATTTTCTGAGAAGAAAGCTGTGTCATGCTTATAACTACTTATATCTATCCTTTTAGCTCTGGGATTTCTCTAATAAAGATCTGCTGCTTCTAGTCTGCTACCTTTTCTATAAAGTAACCTCTTTTTGCTGCTTTAAGAAGAAATGTGATTATATTATCATTCCTAAAGGAAATAAAAAATAATTACTAGTTATTTGTTGGTTTAGATAGATAGGTATTTTTTATTTCCTAGAAGCGTTCTATCCTGAAAATTACTTGCTGTGTGAAAATACCTTGGATTAGTTTTCATCATATTCTTACTTTGAAGCCCATATTTTACATGCCCATATTCTAAACCCATATTCTAAACAAAACTTACTGACATTTAAGATGTGTTTTACTAAATCTGTGCTTCTTGAAAGTAGTTACACTGTTCTCTTTTGGCAAAAACACCCGACTCTACACAGGCATAATTTGCAATCTGTAGTAAAATGTGCAAGTTTCCTCTGCCTTTTACAGTTTGACTCATTTATACTAACCTTGGTAGTCTCATGTATTAATTGAGCAGCATACTGTAGGCACTGTTATATGCTTTATACTGCTAGTGGCATTCATACAATAGATTGCACAGCTTTAACACAATTAACAGCAGTATGAATACAAAAGGAAGCCGGTTACTTTCAGTAGAGCCAGGAACTAGAAATTTACTAAATTCCAGGCAACTTCCCTTCCCAATGAATTTAGGCTGAGCCACCTCTATCAATAAGCAAGTTTTTGCATTTCTGTCTTGCTGTACTGAGAGTAGTTCTTAAACTTTCACACGGTTCATTTTTCTGTCCCAGAACAGCATGAGGAATGAACCCAACCCAATATTTCGACTTTTAGCCCCTCACCTCATTATTCCATTCTTCCATCCTTAACAAGTGTTCAGTAACTGATGTGGAGGTGATTTCTCTGTCCCCTAGGTTGATATATTTATTGCCCATCAACCCACCCAACCTGAGCCCCATGCACCGGTCACATAAAAAAATGTGATCTATCAGGCAGAAATTAATTTCCCTACACCCTTACACTCGTAGTTATCAACCTGAGAACCCAAGTGACTTTGTGAAAATCAGAACAATGTTAATACTTACCGGAGATAATTAGCTTAGTTCCTGTACCGAAGTATTTAATCCATGTGGTCCACACTATGTTTTGACTTTGCAATAAGCTAAAGTACTCTCCTGATGTGCAATTGCTGAATAAAAACAACTTTTTTTTCCTTTTTTTTTTTTTTTTTCTTTCCCAATCTGCACCTGGGAGACTGCTTGAAGGATGGCCAGGCATTGACTGGTGGACGGATGTCAGGAATTTCAGACTTGTGCCTAGTTTTCTGCTGATATCTAATTACCTGCAGAGCAAATCTCTTTCTAAAAGTGTTCCAAGTAGGCTAGCCAACTCTTCCATTTAATGCTTAAGAATTAGGTGAAGTTTTCCTCTTCAATTTTAGATCAAGTAAGCCCACAGTGTTGTTTGTATTAAAAAACCAAACACGTATCTTCAGGTCATGATCCTACTCATTTCCACAGGTATACCCCACCTCTCATCTGGCATTAAGTACAATCAGGTAGTACTAGGATGCATTTCAGTTTTATCTGTCTTAATAAAACTCAGCAGAAGGAAATAAGGGAGAGCCAGCTCTGTAAACCACTCTGCAGTCCAGTGTGAAGGTGTCCATGTGCTGCACCTTGCATTTTCTCTTCCCAGTATGCGGTTGTTATTCGTCCATCTCCTGGAGTCACTCCAGACTCTGAAATATCAGTTCACTGATACCTTTTCATTTACTAACTGGAGAGAGAAGGGGGCTTTCCCATTTGCACACTGGGTTCTTACAAAACATCCCAAGATAACATCTGAGAAAGCCCTGGTACTGTCAATCAAACCACCCACGTTTCATTTGCCATTTACAAGAAACTGAATTTGAGTACGTCTTGTGTGCCATACTGACTACAAAACAACATTAAGAAATTACTGCCTGCGCCTACAGAGGTCACTTGGTTTAATCAGATGTAGCACAAAACAGCTGTCTAGGCTAAATTCTCCTGGGCAGGAACATAGAATAGGCTGCCCGGGGAAGTGTTGGAGTTGTCATCCCTAGAGGTATTTAAGAGATGTATAGATGTGGTACTTAAGGACATGTTTTAATGGTGGACTTGGCAGTGTTAGGTGGATGGTTGAAACTGATGATCTTATGGGTCTTTTTGAACCTAAATAATTCTGTTATTCTATGTTTGTATTTGCAACCACAAAGCAATGGCAAGAGTGACACAGGTAGAGAAAGGAGCTGCTGGTGCATCCCCTGGGTGGGCTGTGTCTACAACACTGAGTATCTGTGAGGTCTCACTGGAAGAAACACAGACAACAAAAGACTGTTCATTGTAGATAGTTCATCAAGCTTCCTTGCATGAGTCAGGCTTGTAAATAAGAGTAGGACAAAACTGAACCATAGTCATTTTGGAGAACTACCACCTACTTGAAATTGTCGTATCATGTTTTCATCCCATCACACTAATATTTAATGAGCTATACTTCTAGGAACTAAATGTGGAGAGTCTCAGCACACTGCAGTAAAGGAAAATACTAAAAAAAGGCTTGATGGTAAAGAAAAAACTTGTCAGGCATGAGGGTCAACATCAGTGATGAAGCAGTTTCTGTGAGGGATGCATTGCTTAAGGGACAGCTGTTGTCAAATAAAAAGCTCTTATCTCTGGCACTAGCTTTGGCAACACTGCCTACAGCTTTGTGGAGTGACTCAGATGCATCTCTACTATGCTGAAAGGCAGTAAAGACAGACAGTGAAAGCAACAAGGATGGGGAAAGACACAAAAACATCTCAAAAAGGGAGAACAATAATGCCCATCTCCATATCTCTTGAGGAATAAATCAAATATCATTTTGTTTCCAGAGCTACTAACTTTTAAACTAAAAGAAGACTAATTTTTCAAATTTAATTTCAAACCTTGGGCTTTGAAAAGCTCCAGGACAATGTCCCGAGTTATTTCCTGGAACAGCAGCATGGAAATAAGCCCTTTTCCAGTAAAGAAATTCTTACAACCAGTTCCCTGCCTCAGTTGAGCAAAATCAGGGGATGAGAAAGTGCCGATGTTGGGTTAGGCATTTGCCCTTCACTGTTCACTTTGCACGTGCCACTCGCTCCATCAAAATCCCCAGCTTTTGGCAGCTGCCCCCTCCAAGGAGTGACTCAGTGCCGAGCCAGTCCAAGCTGTTCAGAGGCTGTGTGTTGAGGCCAGGCAGCTCATCCACGCCAGGGGAAGTGAATTGGGATCTTTCAAATCATTTGTGGTTGAGCCTCCGAGGGAGTATTGGTCGAGGTGATCGCTGGGTTTCTGTCATAGTGAGAGTCCCAGTAAGCACAGTAGTAGGTAGCTGCATCATCCGGACCTATATTTTTTATTATAAGAATACAAATTTTCTGGTTAGAAAGATTTTGAACCATATATCTGTTTCTTTGGAAGTTGTTTTCTACTGTTGTCGTCCCTGATGAAATGTAGAGCATTCTCACTGGTTCTCTATTCTCCTTCTGTTGATACCAGTGTATGACAGTATTATCAAAATTTGCAGAGACATCTTTAAAATGACATTGCAGACGTGCAGTTCCTTGAGACATGGTGATGGACACAGGGGTCTGTATGGGAATTTCCTGTGCAAATCCATCTGGGGAAAAAAAAAAAAAAAAAGAGGAGAAATTATGTTATTAACTAGTAATCAGGGGTTTGTGAAGATACTCATTAGTGTGTCCATGTTTGCTTATGAGGGAACACAAAGTATATTAAGAAGTACTTACAAGACCAAGTGGTTGTGGCCACCAGCGCTGCCAGCAGCAGCATGTTGGCGTGTCCCACTCAGCTGTCTCAGAGCTCTCTGTTCTCCGAGTTGCGACTTGCAGAAGGAAACTGTCCCTGGGGCAGGCTGAGCTGTGCCACGTGGGAGGAGGAGGTGCCTCCCTCGGGTGGCAGCTGGAGAGCCCCTGCATCGAGCCACAGGGACGTGTCCCCTGGGCTCCTTCTGGCAGCACCAGTGGTCAGGGAGCAAGCATAGAAGGAACTTTACAAAAGGCACATCTTCATCTGTCGTAGATAAGAGAGTGTAAATCTCTGATTTAAGTTTTATCTGTGTGGGATTTTGTGGTACTCAAACAACGTAAACCGTATTCCCAGGGACTTGTAGTCACTTACATGCAGATAAGGACAGACTATAGAGGGGGACAGGAAGATCTTGTCCTTAGAACTACTTAGGAGTGACAGGCATGATGTGCCCATCTCAAAAGTCTTTTCTTTAGAACATTGTTCCTCTTTTCCTGCCTTTGCTTTCCTAGCCGAGAACAGCAGCTGGAGTAGAACATCAATATTAAACATTTGCTTTCCTCAAGGAACACCAGATATCTGCCATGCTGGGCAAACCACACTGACAGAACAGGTGAGTTTCCAGTATAGATGTGCTAATTCTTATGGTAGTGATGAGTTACCTTGCCCTTAAAAATGGTATGTGTGTGCCTGAAGACCACAGTGCTAATGATGGCTCAAACTTCAAAAAGGACAGTTGTGCAGTGTTAGCTGCTCATTCTGGGAGGCAGACAAGGGTTTGGCCTTTCTGCAGCTGATACCAGATGGAGTGAGAAGACTGGGGGAGTGAGGAAGTTACAAACCTGTGGTTCAGATGTTGGGGGAGTTTTGTGCCTTGATGGTCTATGAGATTCTACCATTGTGAGGGTCCCAGTAGGCGCAGTAGTACATGCCAGCATCGTCTGGAATGACATCCTTTATCATGAGGACACACCGATTCTGGTCAGAAACCCTTTCAGCTCTGTACCTGTCTTTTTGAAAGCCATTTTCCACAGAAGTACTCCCTTCTGCAAAGAACAGTAGCCTCTCTGGAGCTTCATTCTCCTTCCGCTTATACCAGTGTATGACAGTACTATCAAAACTTGTTGGTAAGTTTTTGATTTCACAATACATCCGTGCAGTTTTCTTGAACTTAGTGATGGATATAGGGGTCTGTATGGGAATTTCCTGTGCAAATACATCTAGAAAAAAAATGTGGAACAATCTTATTAGCTGGAATTCAGGGACTTGGGAAGATGTGCGGCAATGGGTACCCTCTGAGGAAAGGTTGCAAAGTAAGTAGGACATACCATACCAAGCAGCGGTGGCCACAAGTGCTGCCAGCAGCAGCATGTTTGCTGGTCCCGCTCAGCTGAGACTCAGAGGAGAGGGAAAGAGGCCCCAGATGGGGACAGGGTTGAGTGGGAGGAGCAGACGTCTCCAGCGATGGCTCATGTGGGCGCAACCGTGTGGGGCTACGTTTGCAGAGAACCCACTACAACCTGGGGAAGGACTTAGACCTGGGAATGCTCACGTTGGTGAGGATGTTGTCATCCCATCAGCTTTTCAGAAAGACTGGTAAGTCCAAGGAGCGTGGCATGTGGCAACTTGAGGCAGAGCTGCTGAGAAGGGGTTGAGAGTGAGAGCAGCTGCAGCCGTACATCAGGGCGTGAAGCTCCCAGCCCAGAGGCCACCCTGGTGGGCGCTGAGTGTGAGTGGTCCCCCGCAGTGGCAGGAGGCATTTCCCCACCCTGTCAGGGACCTCCTCTTGCTTCCTCAGCCTGGCCACCCAGCTGCGGCCTGCCGAAATGTCCCTGTGCCTCTGCTGCCCCCACTGCAGCAGCTCGTGGGGATCAACCTGCAGCAACCATAGCAGCATCCCCAGGAGCAGGCGCCTCGCCTGTGGTTTTGCATGGGGAGGAAATGCCCAGCTGCAGGGCTTGGGTTTTGAAGCTGAGGTAAGGTGCAAGCACTTCTTGGAAAGAATGGCTGGAAGAGAAGCAGATTGGAAACTGTGCCTCTCTTCACAGAACCAGAGAATCATAGAATGGGCAGTTTTGGAAGGGACCTCTGAAGATCATCTAGTCCGACCCCCCCACCAAGCAGAATAACCTGGAGCACAGTGTGCAGGATGGCATCCAGGCAGGTTTGCATATCTCCATAGAAGGAGACTCCACAACCTCTCTGGGCAATCTGTGCCAGTGCTCTGCCACTTCACAGTAAAGAATTGCCCTCTCATATAGAGCTGGAACCTCCTGTGCTTCAGTTTGTGCCCATTGCCTCTTGTCCTGTCGCTGGGCACAACTGAAAAGAGACCGGATCCATCCTCTCAACACCCTCCCCTCAGATAATTATAGACATTTGTGGAGTGATTGCCTAAAGTGACTAGGAAAATTAAACTAATATTCACATTTTAAGGAAAGTGTCCATCATTGAAGAATCTTTCAGCATGGAGCGTGGCTGCACTACCTAAGCATTCCCTAGGCTTCCCACCTTAGATGCTATCGCACTGGGGCAACCTGGTGTGCTGACTCTAAGGAACAGTACGGATGGTAGTGCAGAGTGGACCACCATGGCTGGGCTCTGTGACAAGAGGAGGACTCGATTGTTCTTGAGCACACCGAGACCAGTAAGCTGCACATTTGTTACCCTGAGACAACAACTCAAATACTGTACTCCAGTGAATTTTGTTCATTACAATATCATTATAATACCAAAACACACCTCCATCCCAAAAGCTACCTGCCTCCAAGGTATGACCACCCCTCACTGAGCATGCTCTCTGAATTTCTCAGAGCCTATACCTATAAACGAAAGCGAGAAAGCTTTTTACCAATCATAACCAAGATATGCTTGACTAGAGTCATTCAAGCTCCACCGAAAAGGTAGAAAATGATATAAATTGGCATAAGAGAGAGGGGACGTTAGGGAAGATACCATCATGAAGGATACCTTCTGACTTCTGGGATCAGTCGACAGGCTGAGCCTCTCTTCCCCCCACACTGGGACACTGTGGGGTAAGATTTGAACACCTGGATATTCCAGGTGTCTCTGTGGAAACTTAGAAATCTCTAGAGTCTTCGTGCCTTATAATGCATTCATGGCCATGCTGTGTACCTGTGTATTTAATGCATGCTAGCTTGCTTTTGCAGACACTGAATTTATCGCTGGCAGTCCAAAGAACCTGTGTACCTGTTGGTGTAATAAATTGCACTTAATTGCATTGTTCCTAACTGTGATAGTTCTCGTTGAATGTGGCTAGAGCGAGGGTGTGCTATATTGTTGGTGAATCCGTGACCAGGATAGTTCAGTGCCCTGAACCCAACCAGACTCATAATGGTTAATCAGTTACACCCCTTAATGCAAACACATTAATGAGGTCTCCCCTCAGTCTTCTCTTTTCCAGTCTAAACAGGCCCAGCTCTCTCAGCCTGTCCTCATACAACAGGTGCTCCAGTCCTCTCATCACCTTCATAGCCCTCCTCTAAACTCGCTCCAGTAGCTCCATGTCCCTGTTGTACTGGGGAGCCCAGAACTGGGCACAGTACTCCAGGTGTGGCCTCACCAGGGATGAGTAGAGGGGGAGGGTCACCTCCCTTGACCTGCTGGCAACACTCTTCCAAATGCAGCCCAGGGTACCATTGGCCTTTTTGGCCACCAGGGCACACTGCTGAGTCGTGGTTAGCCTGCTGTCCGTCAGTACTCCCAGGTCCCTCTCTGCAGAGCTGCTCTCCAGCAGGTCAGTCCCCAGCCTGTGGTGGTGCTTGGGGTTATTCCTCCCGAGGTGCAGGACCCCGTACTTGCCCTTCTTGAAGTTCATGAGGTTCCTCGGCCCAACCCTCCAGCCTGCTGAGGTCCTTCTGAACGGCAGTGCAGCCCTCTGGGGTATCTGCCACTCCTCCCAGCTTTGTGTCCTCAGTAAACTTGCTGAGGGTGCACCCCGTTCCATCACCCAGATCACTGAGGAAGAAGTTGAATGACACAGTACCCAGTACTGACCCCTGGGGGACACCGCTAGCTACAGGCCTCCAACTAGACTACATCACTGAGCACAACCCACTGAGCTCTGCCATACAGCCAATTATCAATCCACCTCAATGCCTACTCATCTTGCTCACACTTCCTGAGCTTGCCTATGAGGATGTGATGGGAGACAGTGCCAAAAGTTCTGCTGAAGTCAAGGTAGCCAACATCCACTGCTCTCCCCTCATCTACCAGCTCGTCATCCCATAATAGAAGGCTATCAGATTGGTTAAGCATGGCTTCTCCATGGTGAATCCATGCTGACTACTGCTGATGAACTCCTTGCCATCTGTCTCTGTTTGTTGGAGGCATAACCCATGGCGAAGGACTTCACTTCTCTTCTGGACACCTCAGCAGAGAAGCTATGATGATAAAAGTGGAGTATCTGGTCTGTTGTAGGACTTTGTAGAGACTGAAATGCCAAGGAAAACAGCAGGAAAATGGGAAGGAAAGTCTACCAAACCATGCAGTATTCTTGTTACACCCGCATACCTTATTTCAAGAGAGAGCACCAAAGGTATGGAGATACATTGCTGTTCTTGCTCCATGGGTTCAATAAAGAGAATAGAAAGCTTCAGCTGCTGTTTGTTCACGAGGCACAGACAGGCTGTGTTCACTGCCAGGTGAGTGCTTTTCCCAAGTCTCCATCTTGAAAGGGTACATCTATTTGTACCCTCAATTGATGGGGCCATGTGTAGATGTGTAGTTGTTTTTCCTATCCTGAGGCAGAATATCATCAGAGCAGAGCTGAATGAGGAAGTATCTGTGTTTGGGCAGAGCTCAGAGCTTGCGGTTTGGAGTGCCAAGTGCCTTTTTGTATGATTTATCTTAGCCCATCTAACGCTGTGATGCCTTGATATGAATACCAGTACGCACAGTAGTAAGTGCCAGCATCCCTCTGGTTTACATTATTTATTTGGAGAGTATAGAGAGGTTCAGAGGCACGCTTCCTCACTTGATACTTTTGTCTGTCAGAGCTGTCATCAAACACAGGTGTCTGTCCTGACACGTAAAGTATTCTCTTGGGCGGCTCACCAGGAAGCTGCTTGTACCAGTGCACGGTGTCTTCTTTCGTCAGCTGGCATGCCATGCTGGCTGAGCGGCCCTCTGCCTGAGTCCTCGTCACCAGGGTTTGCACTGGCACTGCCTGTGTGTCTCCACCTGGAAGGGAATGGGGAGAAATTGGGTGAAAACGTGGTGAGGGCTTGAAACGTCTGCAGTCTGGAGCAGGGGCTGTGTTCTCCGCACAGGGGAAGGAGAGGAGAAAGGGAACGGGGCTTACGGGACCAGCAAGAAGCTGCCAGCAGGATGGGCAGCAGCAGCATGCTGCCTGCTTGGGTGAAGCGTGGAACAGAAGTAGGGGCAGGAAGGTTATAAAGCCCTCCAGGTGGAGAAAGAGTCAAACAGCTCTGTGGAGGAAATGACTCATTTGGCACACCCAATGGTGATGTCTCCGCTCCTTACCATTGCTGGGTGGGGATGGGGAGGGCTACACCACGGAAACTAAAATGTAAAAAGGTCCATACCCAAGCTACTACTGACCTCAGGAGAGTCAGTGAAATCCTTTTGTGTGACCTGAAAACACCCAAGGTGCCTGGAAAGATGGTCATTTCCCCCAAATCAAGAGAAAAACCAAGTGTGGGAGAGGCCGTCTCCTGACTTACGCGAAATCCTAGCAAGGTACGGGGCTCTTTCTCTTATTTCAGCTGTGTTTTTGAAGATAGCTCTTGTATAGTCAGGTCCACCATCCAGCTCTGGTTAGAGGGAGATGGTAAACACAGGAAAAACCTGGCAAAGGAGTTCTTACAACTTACAGGCTGAAAAATATCCAACCCTGGCCCAAAAAGAGACCTTTTTTATTTTCTTAATTTTTGCTTTGTAAAACTAATACGTGAAAAAGCACTGTCCTCCTCTTTAAGGCTCGTTTTTTTGGGTTTCTGTGTCAAGCCATGGGCTCTAGGTCAACATGCTTAATTATTTCCAGGAATAGTAGCGTGGAAAATTGCCCTTTTTAGTAAAGAATTCCTTACAACCAGTTCCCTGCCTCACTTGAGCAATGGAAGGGGAAGAGGAGGTGCCGAGGCTGGGTTAGGCATTTGCCCTTCGCTGTTCCCTTTGCACGTGCTACTTGCTCCGTCAAAATCCCCAGCTTTTGGCAGCTGCCCCCTCCAAGGAGTGGCTCAGCACCGAGCCAGTCCTGGGTGTGCAGAGGCTGTGTGTTGAGGCTGGACAGCTCATCCACGCTGGGGGAAGTGAGTTGGGATCCTTCAAATCATTTGTGGTTGAGCCACCGAGGGAGTATTGGTCGAGGTGATCGCTGGGTTTCTGCTGTAGTGAGAGTCCCAGTAGGCACAGTAGTAGGTAGCAGCGGCATCTGGAGCTATGTTTTTTATTGTAAGAGTACAAATTTTCTGCCTAGAAACCCTTTCAATTGTATATGTGCGCCCTTGGAGGCTCTTATCTGCTTTCGTTGTCCCTGTTGAAATGTAGAACATCCACTCTGGAGCTTTATTCTCCTTCTGCTGGTACCAGTGTATGGTGGTGCTATCAAAATTTGCAGAGATTTCTTTAAAATGACATTGCAGACGTGTACTTCCTTGAGATTTGGTGATGGATATAGGTGTCTGTATGGGAATTTCCTGTGCAAATCCATCTACGAGAGAAGAGAATGAAAGAAGAGGAGAGGAGAGGAGAGGAGAGGAGAGGAGAGGAGAGGAGAGGAGAGGAGAGGAGAGGAGAGGAGAGGAGAGGAGAGGAGAGGAGAGGAGAGGAGAGGAGAGGAGAGGAGAGGAGAGGAGAGGAGAGGAGAGGAGAGGAGAGGAGAGGAGAGGAGAGGAGAGGAGAGGAGAGGAGAGGAGAGGAGAGGAGAGGAGAGGAGAGGAGAGGAGAGGAGAGGAGAGGAGAGGAGAGTGTTTATAACGTTATTAATGCCAATCTGGGATTTGGGAAGATATTCCTTATCAACGAGGAAAAGTAAGATAAACTAGGAGGGACTTACAAGACCAAGTGGTTGTGGCCACCAGCGCTGCCAGCAGCAGCATGTTGGCGTGTCCCACTCAGCTGTCTCAGAGCTCTCTGTTCTCCGAGTTGCGACTTGCAGAAGGAAACTGTCCCCGGGGCAGGCTGAGCTGTGCCACGTGGGAGGAGGAGGTGCCTCCCTCGGGTGGCAGCTGGAGAGCCCCTGCATCGAGCCACAGGGAAGTGTCCCCCAGGCTCCTCCTGGCAGCACCGGTGGTCAGGGAGCAAGGGCAGTGCAGTGGGGAACAGGAAGAGTTTTTCCTTAGAAATACTTGGGCATTGCAGGCACCATGTTCTCATCACCAAAGTGTTTGTCAGTGGTACGTGCTAGTGTCAGCTGGAATGACATCCCTGGTCATAAGGACACACCGATTCTGCTCGGAAACCCTTTCAGCTCTGTACCTGTCTCTTTGAAAGCCACTTTCCACTGAAGTCTTCCCTTCTGCAAAGAGCAGTAGCCTCTCTGGAGCTTCATTCTCCTTCCATTTATGCCAGTGTAAGACAGTACTATCAAATATTGTTGGTAAGCTTTTGATTTCACAGGACAGTCATGAAATTTTCTTGAACTTGCTAATGGATATAGAATTCTGTAAGGGAATTTCCAGTGAAAATCCATCTAGAAGGAAAAACCACCCTCTGAGGAAAGGTTGGAAAGTGATAAGGACAGGGACCTGCCACTGGCCCACCACTGTTTCTGCCTCTGTGAGAGCAGACTTAAGAAAGGGAAAAAGAAACTCCTGCACAACAGCAGCTGGGAGAGCGAGGAGAGAGCACCAGCCCTGCAGCCCCCCAGGTGAGTGCAGCAGGAGGGCAGGAGGTGCTCCAGGCAGGCAGCAGCAGTTCCCCTGCGGGCTGTGGAGAGGCCCCTGGAGGAGCAGGCTGTCCCCCTGCAGCCCATGGGTCCCACATGGAGCAGATCTCCACGCTGCAGAGGAGGTGGTTCATTTCAGCAGTATTCAATAGCAGGTCTTTTGCTGACCCTTGGGCCACAGGCTCAGAAAATACCAGAACTGCTGAGGTTGTCAAGGGCCTCTTAAGGCCCCCAAGTGCAACCCTGGTTCAAGCAGGGTCGCCTAGAGCAGGTGGCCCAGGACTGTTTCCAGTGGGTCCCCATGGAGGCTCCACCTCCCCTCGGGACAACCCATTCCAGTGTTGGACTGCCCTCATGGTCAGAAGGGGTCTTCTTGTGTTCAGATTGATTTTCATTTCAATTGAGTTTCTGTTGGTGCCCATTGCCTCACAGGGCACCATGTGAAGGAGCCTGGCTCTGGGCCCTTTACACCCCCTTCAGGGATTTATCGACATTGAGGGGCTCTCCGGTCTGAAGAGTTCCAGCTCTCTCAGCCTCTCCTCTTAAGACAGGTGCCCCAGTGATTCATGGAAGAACTCAAAGCAAACGAGTTATAAAGTAGGTATGTAGTTTATTTCAGCGCCGGGCACATGCGGGATAGTTCCCAAAGGCGTGTGCACCTTAACACGGCAACTTGCTTTGGTTATATGCAGTAAAAAGTTACATATGCATGAAGTTTCCCAGTACGCCTATACATATTCATAACCTTTCCCTACTTTGTATTAAAATTAGCTCCAAGGAGTCATTTCCATAAACTCCTCCCATCTGCGCCTGCGCAGTGCCTTCTGGTGGTGGTCATCGGGGATTGTGGGGATGAAGGCCGATAACTCCTCTTCATCACCACTGGTTGACCCCCTGCCTTTGTACAGACTCAGCTGCTCCTTGGCTCTTGTCCAAACCACAAGCTTGGTCTCAGATGGTTTTTGATACAGGTTCCCCATTTTGTCAGGAAGCATCTTCTGTGAGGGGCCCCGAGACTCCTTATTTTGATTAGTAAGAAAAGACACACAACAATATCTATTTTAATGTGATAGATCAAGTCCCCATTCTTTCATTCCTGGCTTTAATAATTACGATTTTTTTTTGTTGTTGTTAGAAATCATTAATGCGATTAAGCAAGCCCCCATTCTTTTATCCCTGGCTTCAGTCCCCCTTTTTTCTAGAAGATTATCAAATTCTTTTACTTGCGGCAAATATTCCCAACTTGGTACTGATCACTTAATGCCATACCATGGACATGCAGCAAAAAATCAGTGTGGCTGTCCAGTAGAACATTCTTAATTTCGAGATTAGTACAATTACAGTCAATACTAGACTTACACCAACTAAGATCAATATGAATATGATTGTGTGACACAATATATTGAGAATACCATTTTCTGTTGGTGACCACCCTAAGAGTGCATCCCACCAGTGATGACTAGCATCTTGTTTCACCTGTTGTAGAACCTTGCTTCTTTCCTTGATGTCGTGATGGACAGTAATTAATGTATTTTTGCCACTTTCCTCGATACTTCTCAGAATACTGGCCAAATCTTGGTGTTTGATTAATTGTCTTATGAAGGTGAGGTTCATTCCAGTTGGTGTTGGTAAAAGTGCACTATACAGCGTGTTATTAGATTTAATCAACTGGTGGGATACTACTGGTGCTAGATATAAAAAGTCACATCCAACAATTCTAACAAAGTTACAAATACAGAAGTTAGAATGATTTTTTTCTAGCTAGAGTTATATTTTCTTTATCTACTTCTACAGAGGTACATGCAGTCCTTAAACACACACAGCCTTGACCTATATATATAAGCACTGTCTTTGGATTAGTATTTGGATGAATTTCAAAGTGGCAAACACCTTGTTCAGTGTCAAGACACACATCCTGAGCATCAATTGTGTTGCTTTCACAGAGAAATCCTTTTTGTTCCCGGGTAACACATGATTCCAGATCTACGGTCTGCCATTTCCCGCTTACCATCCTTGCCCATGTCCTATTTTCAGAGGGGTAAAGTACCATTTCTTCATGATTTAACCCTGGTGAGATAATGGGGTGAATAACATAAACTGTGGCATTATGTATGGTAAGTACAAAAGCAGTAGCCATATGAGCGATAGGGTCATAAGTAAAATTTACCAGCATCCACCAGGACTGAAATTTTCTTTCAAAATTGTTAGCATTGTCCCAAACAGCCTTTCAGACTTCAACCAGGAAAATGCCTTCACTTCCTTCCCTAATGATCTTAATTGTGGTAAAGGTAGTAAGGAGCACCTGGTATGGCCCTTCCCACTGTGGTTTCAACGTTTTCTCTGCAAGAGACTTGACATATACATAATCTCCAGGCTGTATGTCATGCACCAGTCCACCCAGCTCTCTACTCTGAGTTCCAGCCACATGTTTTTCTGTTTCTCTAAGTTGTTTACTCAAAGCTACCATACCGGTAATCAGCATCTCTTCCCCAGCCTACGCAGACATTCCCTTCTGGACCCTGTATGGCTTCCCATAAAGTGTTTCAAAAGGACTTAATTTTTCTTTAGTTCGGGGCTTAGACTGAATCTGCAGCAATGCTAGCAGGAGAGCTTGGGGCTGGGACAAGTTAGCTTCTTGCCCTAACCTTACAATTTGTTGTTTGATCAAATGGTTCATTTTCTCCACTTGACCACTTGATTGAGGGTGGTATGGTGTGTGCAGTTCCTAATCTATGCCCAAATACTGACTAATTTGCTGCACTGCATTTGAAATAAAATGTGGTCCCCGGTCTGAGGATATGGTAACTGGAACTCCGAAGCGCAGTATTATTTCTTGTAGCAATACCTTGCTTACTTCTCGGGCTTTGGCAGTTCTAGTGGGTACCGCTTCTGGCCAACCTGAAAAGGTATCTGTTGATACCAACAAATATCGATACCCCCCTTTTCTTGGAAGTTCTGAAAAGTCAATCTGCCACTGTTATCCAGGCCCATGGCCTTTCCCAATTTGGCCCAATTTCAGTTTGGGGGTATTTTTGGGATTGGTCTGGAGGCAGAGGTCACATTGTCGGGTTACTAGTGTGACAGTAGCATACAAATTCCTAGCCATAATTTTCCCAATCAGATAGTTATATAGGGAATTTATTCCCCAATGAGTTTTCCGGTGTTCTTCCCTTACTAGTGACCATAGCAAATTAGAGGGGGTGACTAATTTCCCTTTCCCTTCTTCGGTAATAGACCATCCCTCGTGGTTATACTCTCCCTTTTGACTTTCGGTTAATTTTCTGTCCTTTTTTCTTATATACTGGCTTACCTTCTAGGCGAATTTCCCTGTCTGGAATCAGGGCTCCCTCAGTTGTTACCTTGCCTTTTGCTGCTTCTTTTGCCTCTCTGTCCGCCAGATCATTTCTTTCCTCCAATTCTGAGCTCACCTTCTGGTGTGCCTTAATGTGCATTGTTGCTACCATTTCAGGCAGCTGAACTGCTTCCAGTAATTGCATTATTTCTTTTGCATGTTTGATGTTTTTTCCTTGCGAGTTCAACAGTCCTCTTTCTTTCCAGATGGCTCCATGTGCATGTACAACCCCAAGTGCATATCTTGAGTCCGTATAGTTGTTTATTTTCTTTCCTTTTGCTATTTCTAAGGCACGGGTCAGAGCAATTATCTCAGCCTTTTGTGCAGAGGTATCTGTTGGCAAAGGTCCAGATTCTATTACCTCTTTGCAAGTGGTAACTGCATACCCAGCATGTCGTTTTCCACTGCTGACGTAGCTGCTTCCATCAGTGAACCAGATTTCCACAAATGGCTGGAGTAGGTCAATGGTCTCCAGGCAGTCGTGGTGTACTGGCTCCCCTTTGGTTTACTCTGAGGAAAGAAGCATCCAGGCCACACATGATTCTTCTGTCTGGGTGGCTATTAGGAGGTCATCTGTGTATTGCAACAGCCTTCCTTCTCCTGGTGGGGCTTCTCAGGTCCCAAGTCCTTTGCAAGTTTTTTTCCGAACAAGGTGGACGAGTTCTTAAAGTCCTGAGGCAACCTTGTCCATGTGAGCTGTGTTTTGCACCCACTCTTAGGGCTTTCCCACTCAAATGCAAAGATTTTCTGTCTGGCCTCATGGAGAGAGAGGCAAAAGAAGGCATCCTTCATATCTAAAATGATAAACTAGGTTGGCTCTGGTGTTAAGCACGTTAATAAAGTATATGGGTTCACCACCACAGTGTAAAGGTAGTGGCTGTCCTCTCCTTAAGTTTGATTTGTATTGGAGGAGCATTTTTGCCTTCCCTGGTACTTCATTTACCCATATTCCCAGGAATACCTGACTCAATATGTCTTCATTAACCTCTTCCTTCATTTTAGGGTTTGTTGATATCATTAGGCTTAATACCTCCACATACCTCTGGTCATCTACCTCCAGAACAATCTCCCCATTTTAAAATGATATGGTTGCTTGTAATTTTTCCAGTAGGTCCCTTCCCAGGAGTGATTCCGGAGAGTTGGGCATATATAAAATTTGACTGTCCCACTGTTTCCCAAGTTTGTACTTTAAAGGTTTACAAAAGTATGCCATTTCTGATTGGCCAGTTGCTCCTTTTACTATGACATAACATTTACTATGACATAATCATTTCCTACAGGTACTAGTGCTTTATTTAAAATGAATCAGTTGCCCCTGTATCTACCATTCATTCCACCTCCTTTCCCCCCTTCATTTTTATAACCAGTGGATCTGCTGGGTTAGATTTCCCCGGTCTTCTCCAGTCATCTTTTGCATGCGCAAACACCACTTCCCTTCCCTGGTTCTCTTTTCCATTTCTTTTCTATTCCAAGCATTCATTTTTCCAATGCCCAAAAGTCTTGCATAAGACACATTGATCCTTGCCTAGCCAGGGCTGTTCCTGTCTAGACCTCCTTTTTCCTTCTTCCCTAATAACTGCTATCAGCCTCTTCTGCACATTTAATTGAGGTTAGATAAAAGTTCTCTCTCCCTCCAAATTTCCCCTTGCGCATACACCACACCAGAGGCATATTTCAAATCTGTCCAAATGATTGCCAGCTCAAAAGCTCTTATCAAGGTGATGATTTCCACCACTGGGGCTGATGTTTGTTACTGCATATCCTGTGAGGCAAAATCCCTGGAGGACGAAGCTGCTGCCATCTATATACAAATCCTCTACATCTTCTAGGGATGTATCCTTTAAGTCTGGTCAGCTGGAGTATACTGTGTCCATGGTCTTCATGCAATCATGAGTAAGGAAAGAGGCTGGGTTCACAGAACAAGTGCTGAAAACCATCAGTAAGTCCTTTATACCCATTCCTTTTCTTCTTCAGTCGCTATCATTTGCATATTGCAACAGTGTCCCCTTTTCCTGAAGAGGTCTTTCACGCTTCAAGATCACAGACTGGTTGTTTCCTGAATATGGTTGGGGCTATTCTTGAACCCCTGTGGTAGCACAGTCCAAGTAAGCTGAGTTTGTCGTCCTCTGTTAGGATTTTCCCATTCAAAGGCAAAGAGTTTCTGGCTTTCAGTTGCCACGGGAAGGCAGAAAAATGCATCCCTTCAATCTAGTACCATGAACCAAACTTGACTGTCCTTGTTCAAAAGAAATTTTTGCATCCAGTTTTCCCAGCAAGTCCCTTCCTAAGAAGGGCCTCAGCAAATTGGATAAGTATAAAAATTGATGAATTCCAATCATTTTTCCCAATTTAAATTTCAAGCATTGCAAATAAAAATGCCTTTTCCTGTTTCCATGACAACTCTCTTGGACCCACCATGATCCCTCTACCCCAGAGGGCTCACACCCGTGATTTTGAGATCTCAGCCTCTGATTGAGGCAGAACTACTAACATTCCTCCATCCTCTTTCCCTGCTCATTCAACTTCAAACAGCTCTGTCAAATACTACATGCCACACCTTTTAACACCTTCAACAGCCCTTTTAACACTTCTTTTGTCTTTCTCCAGCCTGTACTTTTCTCATACCAACACCGAAGGCTCAGTCAGGGGCCAACCTAATTCCATACCTATTCCCTCTAAGATGTTCAAACAACATATCAGTATGCAACATTTCATCCTATTTTCCTTCTCTCCTCTAAAACAACATTAACTGCTAGATAGTGTTACAGTCAATTGATCCATAAAGTGGCCATTTAGCTTATATAGTGGCCACCATAGATTACAATACTTGGTGAAAGTCCTCTTGTTTTCTGTGCCCCCATTTCTAACAATATCCATCCAGTGTGCCAATATGCATCCAAGGAGGCTTTCTTTAAAAAGTCTTTGCTTTGGATATTACCCATTTCCTTGATTTCCCATTCCCTTTTATTTATGTATTTATTACTATTCCTTATTAGTTGGTGTCCCTTGTTTCAATTTCCACGCAAACCTTTTTATTGCAGGTTTTTACTATCTTTTCCTAATCTTCTTCCTGTGGGAATAGAAATGTTGTTTTTGCAGAGTTACATTGTTTAGAAGGAGGGAATGTGGTACTGAGATATGCTTACAGTGATAAGAAAGTTTAGCAGGCGACCTAGTAAAATGCAGACAACCAGTCTCCTTAGGACAATTAGGTGAAAATCACGGTGTCAAGTCAAGTCAGATAAGTGAAGAAACATTACCACTTCAAGCAGTAAAAATGTCAAAAGAAATTTGAAATTTAGCAGGCCGGCAACTGAAGACTATGCATTGTTTGTGAAGCATCAGATAGATTGTGAACCTGGATTACCCACTCAGTGGGGAAACAGGGGAGGGTCCTGCCATCAAAAGGTATATAAACTGTGTTTTGGAACTAGTAGAGGCGCTCTCTCCTGCTTGTGGGGCGCCCGCCATTGCAATCGCGAATAAATTACTACTTCACTGAGATCCTCGCCTGAGCCTAAGTTATTGGCTACGGAGTGTTTCTCACATTCCCAAACGTCCCAGTTGCCTGGGATTAAACTCTTCCTTACACATACAAACTTTACTGTTTCAGATTCTTAGTGAGCCCTGTTCCACTCATAAATCCACAGGGCTTTGGGAGAACACCTGAAGTACTCAGCCCTCTGTCTTCCAGACAAACAATACCATCTTTTTCACAAAATTTACCTTTCAGCAGGACTGAATTTCAAGCTGAATGCCAATTTTTCTCATGCACTTTGTTAGTAAGCCCCCACCAACCAAGGAATCACTCCTACATATCCATCAGTATAGGGGTTTAAAAAGGTATTGAGGCCTAAATAAATTTACTCTCCCCCTTCTTACCAAATTCCCAGGACTCAAGCCTGAACCACCAAAGAAGTGACTCTCCATTATACCGCTTTGATGATCAGCACCCCCTTCCCCCTTAATACTTGGGACACTGACCAAACACCACCATGAATATACCAAAACTTCTAAACTTTTACTCAGATAATACTCCCACTACTTGTCACACTCAAAACATTTAAACACAAAAAATAAGATTACAAGGTGCACTGCTGGGCCTGAATTTTGGGCATCACCAGTCAACCCTTGGATAAAACAGCACTTTTTTTCGGTCTGTCACGCTTTTCATTCATCTTTGGACGCTCCCCTCGCGGAGAATACGGAACCACGGATCTGAACTCCATACACGCTTCCCAGTGATGCTGCATCTCACTCACTCAGCACAATCATGCAATCACACAGAGAGGCCCCGTGCACTTCTCAGTCATACCAAAAGAATATATCACTTAAGCAAACTTGTTTGTATCATCTCTGGCTGTGTTCCTCACGGAGTAACTCACTTTACAACAATACTTTGCCTCAAACACATACACTTATACAAATGCTTTCAACATGAGACACCCAGACATCTACAAATAATACATACAATTAGTAACACTCCAATTAATATCCCTCCAGCAGCTGCAAACATGACCCAGGTAAACTTGTCACAATTATGAGAGGCCAGCTTACCCTTCTGTTTCTTATAGTCATTAGCTGGTCTGTCCTGGCCCCCAAAACCAGGATGCAGTGGTAACCTTGGATTTGCTCTATCTACTCCCAAAAGATCACAAGTGGCTGTTCCATCGGCCACCAAATCCCCGTTGACTAGTCTATTGGTCAGCCTGTAGGGTACCCTCCTCCCTTACAGGAACTAAGCTGCAGGCCAGATGTCTCCGCGCGATTTACCAGCTGCCCCAGACACATGTACAACTTACATGCCCTTCCTGTACTGTTACACATACCATTTGTCCACAGTCCAGCAGGTCATGGTCTGCCCCCACAGAGAGCAGCTGAGGAGCAGAGTTCCTCCAGGGAATTGTACCCAGTGCGCGCTAGGACGTCCACAGCGCGGCCACTCCTGTGGGCAGGCAGAGAGCCTCATGGCTGGCTCGCCAAAATCACTTATGGAAGAAATCTGTAACTGAAAGCAAACGAGTTATAAAGTAGCTATGTGGTTTATTTTGGTGCCGGGCACATGCGGGACAGCTCCCAAAGGCATGCGCACCTTAACACGGCAACTTGCTTTGGTTATATGCAGTAAAAAGTTACATACACATGAAGTTTCCCAATATGCCTATACATATTCATAACCTATCCCCGCTTTGTATTAAAATTAGCTCCAAGGAGTCATTTCCATAAACTCCTCCCATCTGCGCCTGCGCAGTGCCTTCTGGTGGTGGTCATCGGGGATTGTGGGGATGAAGGCCGATAACTCCTCTTCATCACCACTGGTTGACCCCCTGCCTTTGTACAGACTCAGCTGCTCCTTGGCTCTTGTCCAAACCACAAGCTCGGTCTCAGGTGGTTTTTGAGACAGGTTCTCCATTTTGTCAGGAAACATCTTCTGTGAGGGGCCCCAAGACTCCTTATTTTGGCTAGTAAGAAAAGACACTCCGAAATATCTACTTCAATGCGATTAAGCAAGCCCCCATTCTTTCTTTCCTGGCTTTAATAATTATGATTGTTTTATTTAGAAATCATTAATGCGATTAAGCAAGCCCCCATTCTTTTATCCCTGGCTTCATCAGTCCCTTCATGAGCCCAGAACTGGACTCAGCTCTCCAGGTGGAGCCAACCAAATGCCAAGCAAAGGGAAAGGATCACCTCCCCCAGCCTGCTGGCAGCACTTTGCCTCATGCAGCTCGGGGTACTGACAGCCATCTTGGCAGCAAGGGCACGACGTTTACTCTCATTCCTTCACTAGACATCCAGCCAGGTCCTTTTTTGCATAGCTGTTTTCCTGCAGGCTGGCTGCAGGGATCCCAGGATAGACCTTCACTGGAAATACAACCCATCTGTGCTCCCTCCCTTCCCTTGACGTTGTTGTTGTTTCTTTTTTTGCTAGCTCAGACCATGTTGGGAAAGCATCCACCTTCAGCAAAGACTGTGTAAGCAGTGCTGCCTCTCTTTGTCATCACCCACAGGGGTGCTCCTTTGCCCCACCCCAGTGCATTTTGCCCGCGGAGGCTGCAGCGCACTGCGTTTCTTGCCTGTTCTATTTGTCAACTCTTCATACTTCCTTCCTCAGTGGAAGGGATGCCCCAGGAGGGACGTTTGAGGAGCTGAGAGGTGGCTGCAGGAAGGTAATGTTGGTTCCCTGCATCTGAGAGGACACCTGCCACTCAGGCTGCAACCGCCTTTCTGTACAGGCTGCCTACGATCGTCTCGCTCTGTGAGACTGCCAGTAGGCACAGTAGTAGGTACCTTCATCATCCTCACGTATGTCTTTGACTGACAGGGTGCAGGTATTTTTGCCTCTTTTAGAAGAGTGGTACTTGTCCTTGTAGGAATCCTTGTCGTAGGAAATCTGTGCTGTTGAGGTCACATACAGAAGCCGTTCGGGAGCCCTGGAGGGTATGTGTCGGTACCAGTGGATGTAAGCATCCTGGAAGTCATCTATGCCCTCGACTTTGCAATCGATCACTGCTGTCGAAGACGTCCTTTTGGTGAGAGATGGCTGACGCTGTTGCAGCAGCACTTGTGCTTGTCCATTGGACAGGAGAGAAAGTAATACAATGAGCACTGCCAGCCGCCTGCTCATGGTCGTATGCATGAGAGCCGCTTGCTGCTGCTCCCCACACTGCCCTCCTGAGAGGGGGAACGCGTGTGACCAGGCTGCAGCCAGGGCCAGGACCGGCAGCGGCAGCATCCCGATGGCGCTCGCTCACCTCCGGCTGGGGGAGAAAGATGCTGCCTCTGCAGCAGGGCCAGGGGGCTGAGCCTGAGGAGAGGATGTGACTCACTTGGGGGCCTTGGGGAGAGGGGCCCCAGGAAGCAGGCAGGTAATGCTGCAGGAAAGCAGCGCTGCCAAACCCTGCTGAATGGTAGCGGTCGTTTATAGTCTGGAGCAACCTACTGCTGCGTTCAGAGGAGTTGGAAGCTGCTACGCAGTACCTGGGCTCAGAGGCTTTCCCAGCTGAATAGGGGCACTCTGCTCTTGTACAGCTGTGCCAGGTGTCTGAGCTTTCCCTCTTCTGCGAGGTGCGACTGATACGTCAGTGCTACATGTGCGGTAAGGTTTTTCTTCTTCCTTTTCTCTCTCTCTCCTGCCATACCTGGGGAAATCCCCTTTTTGTTGCTGAAGTGAAATGACTTCTCTGCTGGTGCCAGCCACAGAGAGCATCTGGAGAGCCTGCACCAGCCCTGCAGCGCCTTTGATGTCCCGCTGCCTGAGAAGTGTGCTCGATGGGCTTGGGGCTGATGGGGAGGCAGGGTGGGCACGTTTCTTGAGGTTTTGGGCATTTCAGGGTATGGTCCAGGAAGCGGAGCACATCTTTGTGCAGGCTGCCTATGGCTCTCTGCTGCTGTGCATCCCACCTGGCGCAGTAGTAGGTACCAGCATCTCGCAGGGTGACTTTGGTCACCGTCAGGGTGCAGAGAGATTTGCCCACGTCCTTCTCAATGCTGAATTTCCCCTCATCTTCCCGGTTCGCAAGGAAGAGCGTGGATGCCATGTAGGCAACGCGCTCGGGAGCTGCCCCAGGCCTCGTGCGGTACCAGTGAATGAAAGCTTTGTCAAAGTCAGGGACGGAGACGTGGCAGGTGATGAGCACCGTTTTGCTTTCGGGCTTGGTGACGGATACCGGGCTTTGCTGCAAGGCTCGTGCAGGACTGCCTGTAGGAAAGCAAGAGGGAAATGAGGAATGCAAGGCTGAAGCAGCAGCAGAGCTTCGCCCGGGACGTGCAGGCAGTGGGGTGAGCAGGGCACGTACAAGAGAAAGCAGCTGCCAGGACGAAAGATCTCAGCAGCCACATGGTCGCTGACCTCCGTAGGGCTTCCATGCGGGGACAGGCTCGGAGCCAGCTTCGAGCACTGGCCAAGCGGATCTGAGCAGGAAAAACCACTTGTCTTGTTGACGTGCAATGAGGCTGTGCCAGCTGCAGGTGGGCCAAAAAGTATGTGGGGGTGTCGTGGTTTAACCCGGCCGGCAGCTAAACACCACGCAGCCGTTCGCTCACCCTCCCCCCTCCCTCTCTGGGACGGGGGAGAGAAATGGAGAGTGAAGCCCGTGAGTTGAGATAAAGACAGTTTAATAAGACAGGAAAATAATAATAACAAAATAATAATAACAATAATAACAATAATAATAATATGGTGATAATAGGGAAATAATAATAATATGTACAAACAAGTGATGCACAATGCAATTGCTCACCACTCGCTGACCGATGCCCAGCCTAACCCCGAGCAGTCCGGCCCCCCTTCCCCCGGCTAGCCACCCCTATATATTGTTTAGCATGACGTCAGATGGTATGGAATACCCCTTTGGCTAGTTTGGGTCACCTGTCCGGGGTCTGTCCCCTCCCAGCTCTTACTGCACCCCCAGCCTGCCCGTTGGCAGGACAGAGCAAAAGGCTGAGATGTCCTTGGCTTAGTATAAGCACTGCTCTGCAACAATTAAAGCATCGGGGTGTTATCAGCACTCTTCTCATCCTAAGCCAAAACACAGCATTCCACCAGCTACTAGGAAGAAAATTAATTCTGTGCTAACTGAAACCAGGACAGGGGGCCTTTCTTTGCCACGTCTTCCACCCTCGGGAGTCCCTGCAGGTGTGCCCAGCCAGGCCAGCAGGAGCCTGCAGCCAGGTGAGGTTTGCAGCCCTCACCCGCCTGTGGTGGGGAGCACAGCCTGGGTTGTGTGCCGGCTGCCTGAGGGTTTTCTACGGCTGTGCTCTCCCAGTAAGCACAGTAATAGGTGGCTTCCTGCTCCTTTGTGACTCTTTTTATTGTGAGAGTACAGATGGGCTCCGTCTTCTTCTTCTCGGCCCCAAAAGTTTCCCTGTAGGACTGGTCGTAGTACGCAGCCGCCTCTTTCTGCACATACAGAAGGTGCTGTGGGGCTTCCCCGGGTTTCTGCTGGTACCAGTGGATGTAGGCATTGGGAAAGTCTGACCCCGAGAAGTGGCAGTCGATCCGCGCAGTGCTGTATGCCACTCTGCGCACGGAAGGTTTTGGCTGCCGGAGGATTTGCGCGGCTCCATCTGCAAGGGAAAGCAGAGGAACAGCACTGCAGTGACAGCAGGAGCGACCCCCGGGGGCTCCCTGACCCCGCAGCTTGCACCTACGACTTACAGGAGCAAAGGGCTGCAGCAGCCAGAAGCACCTGCAGCAGCAGCATGCGTGTTGCACGACGTGGAGTCTGCCTCCGTGACCTGGCCTGGGCAGAGTGCGTCCGTCCCTGGTCCCTGGCGAGAGGGAGGGAGGGAGCAGGCGCTGGAGGGGCAGAAAGGAGTGGCTCAGGCACCTGGCACCCAATGGCAGCTCCTCTGCGTGGCTCCAGCTCCTGGGGGCCAGGGGTCTCCTTGCTCCTGGGAACCTCCCTGCAAGTGCTGGTGCCCTGCAGGTGGATGCAACTGCCTGTCGCAGCTACCCGAATTCAGCCCGGTGTGAGCAGCCACAGCTTGGCTTTACGGCAGCTGCCTCGTGGCCAGCTGAACGCACTGTAGCACGGTCACAGGTGGGTTGCTGCAGCAGCTCCTTGCCCACTCTTATGGATTTATGCCTCACTTTTAGCCTGGGTTCCTCTTGCTTCATCTCCACCTGGGTATATCTTTGCTTGTTGGAGGGAGAGATGAGATAAGAGAGCTTCCACCTGAAATCCCTCTTCCTGTGGTGGTGGGGGTAGGAAGAGTAGTTTCCCCATGCTGCAAATGATGTGGCAATGCTTTCAAACTGTTACTGAAAGCTGCAGTAATTTAAAAGTCAGAAATATGCAGCAAAAGCATGCTCAGCCCTCAAATAAGCCTTCTGGTCCCTGGCCCTACCCCTGCCATTTCCCACATCCCTGAGAAAGTGGCCTTTCTCTCTACCCATCAGGGGCAGCTGTCTTTGTACTTAGCCACCTCCCACGGTCCGGGTGCCACACTAGAACTGAGCACCTGGGATATGTGTCTAGCTCACTAGCTTAAACAGAAATGCTTTCTAGTCGTGACATCTTCTGGACATCGGTAGCAATACACTCACATTCCTATTTTTAGTTTCCTCTTTATATTTATAAACATCTGTCTATGTCTTGTGCTTATTTAGTATCTAATTTTCTCATCAAGCAGTGTTTGATTCCCAAATCTGATGCTGCACATGGGCCTACGAATTTTTCTATCATCTGGCATTTATCAGGCAAGCCCAAATCTCATGATTACACATTCAATACCAAGATCTGAACACGTGCTGATGAGCAACCCTCTGCCCGGCTTGACGCCATCTCCACTGCTTCCCCATTAAGAATGTCTCAAGAATAGGCTTTATAATGACAGTTTCCTGATGCTGATGCTGCCACATTCCTTTCTTGAAGTACAAACCAGTTGCTTACTCAACACGTAATTTTCCCAACCCTATCAAGTAAGTCTCCCAATTTATGCCCCTAGATCGATGGGACTTTCTCACTCCAAGTCAGAGGGAGTCTTCCCCCTCATCTCAGTGGGATTTTGAAAGCACTCAAGCTTTCAAGGGAAATTTTTCTTTCAGTTTTCTGTGTCAAACCACGGGCTTTGAAAAGCTCCAGGACATCATGCTGAGTTATTTCCAGGAACAGCGGCATGGAAGATTTCCCCTGTCCAGCAAAGACATCCTTACAACCAGTTCCCTGCTTGAGTAAACCAGTTTCCTCACTTGAGTAAAATCAGGGGAAGAGGAGGTGCTGAGGTTGAGTTAGGCATTTGCCCTTCACTGTTCCCTTTGCACGTGCCACTTGCTGCGTTGAAATCCCCAGCTTTTGGCAGCTGCCCCCTCCAAGGAGTGGCTCAGCGCCGAGCCAGTCCCGGCTGTGCAGAGCCTGCGTGTTGAGGCCGGGCGGCTCATCCACGCTGGGGGAAGTGAGTTGGGATCTTTCAAATCGTTTGTGGTTGAGCCTCCGAGGGAGTATTGGTCGAGGTGATCGCTGGGTTTCTGTCATAGTGAGAGTCCCAGTAGGCACAGTAGTAGGTAGCTGTGTCATCTGGAACTATGCTTTTTATTATGAGAGTACACATTTTCTGGTCAGAAACCGTTTCAACTGTATACCTGCGCCCTTGGAAGCTCTTATCTGCTCTTGTAATCCTTGTTGTAACGTAGAACATCCACTCTAGGGCTTTATTCCCCTTCTGTTGGTACCAGTGAATGATGGTGTTATCAAAATTTGCAGAGACACGTTAAAAATGACACAGCACACGTGTACTGCCTTGAGATTTGGTTATGGATACAGGGGTCTGTATGGGAATTTCCTGTGCAAGTCCATCTAGGAAAAAATAAAAAAAAATTAAAAAAAAAAGAGAGAAAAGGATAAATTTATTTAATAAGTCAGTGATAGTCAGTGGTAATTAGTGACTGGGGAAAATCCCTGTTAGTACAACCATGTATGCTGGTGAGGAAAATGTGGATGAAGTAAGAAGGACTTACCAAACCAAGCTGTGGTGGCCACAAGTGCTGCCAGCAGAAGCATGTTTGCTGGTCCCGCTCAGCTGAGACTCAGAGGAGAGGGAAAGACCCTTGATGGGGACAGGGTTGAGTGGGAGGAGCAGACGTCTCCAGCGATGGCTCTTCTGGGAGTAACAGTGTGGGGCTAGGTTTGCAGAGAAACCACTGCAGCCTGGGAAAGGGCTTAGACCTGGGAATGCTCACGCTGCTGAGGACGTTGTCATCCCATCAGCTTTTCAGAAAGACTGGTAAGTCCAAGGAGCGTGGCGTGTGGCAACTTGAGGCAGAGCTGCTGAGAAGGGGTTGAGAGTGAGAGCAGCTGCAGCCATATATCAGGGTGTGAATCTCCCAGCCCAGAGGCCACCCTGGTGGGCGCTGAGTGTGAGCGGTCCCCCGCAGTGGCGGGAGGCATGTCCCCACCCCGTCAAGGACCATGTCTTGCTGCCTCAGCCTGGCCACCGAGCTGCGGCCTGCCGAAATGCCCCTGTGCCTGTGCTGCCCCCACTGCAGCAACTCGTGGGGATCAACCTGCAGCAACCACAGCAGCATCCCCAGGAGCAGGCGCCTCGCCTGTGGTTTTGTGTGGGGAGGAAATACACAGCTGCAGGGCTTGGGTTTTGAAGCTGAGGTGAGCTGCAAGCACTTCTTGGGAAAAAAGGCTGGAAGAGAAAGGCAGAGAAACATGTCCCAAGTACAGTACTCTGCATGTCCCCCTCTCAGACATGGTGAGGTTGCCATCAGCCCATTTCTCCAGCCTGACAAGGTGCCTCTGGATGGCAGCATGTCCCTCTGGTGATGACAGTAGAGGTCTAGCATGACCCCCACTCCTCCCAGGTTGGTGTTGTCTACAAACATGCTGAGGGAACACTCTGTCCCATCGTCCAAAGCCTTAAGGAAGATGTTAGACAGGACTTGACCAAGGGCTTTGTGCCACTGATCACCACCCTTGGGGCCCAACTGCTCAGCCCATCTTTCGGTCTCCTCGTCCAGCCCCTCACACCAACAGCCTTTCTCTAAGACTCTTACAGGTGACAGTGTCATGGGCTTTAATCAAGTCCCCAGACTATCTGCACTGCTCTCCCCTCATCCAGCAGGCTGGCCATTTCATTGTAGAAGTGTATGGGATTGGTCAAGAATGACTTCTCTGTGGTGAACCCATGCTGAGTACTGCTGATGATCTCCTTGCCGTCTGTCTGTTTGTTGGAGGCATAGGCCATGGCTGAGGACTTCACTTCTCTTCTGGACACCTCAGGGGAGAAACTGTGATGATAAAGTGGCATTTCTGGTCTGTTGTAGGACTTTGTAGAGACTGAAATGCAAAGGAATACAGTAGGAAAGTGGGAAGGAAAGTCTACCAAATCATGCAGTCTTCTCTCCTTGTTTCAGACACACGTCTTGTTTCAAGAGAGAGCACCAAATATGTAGAGATACATTGCTGTTCTTGCTCCATGGATTCAATAAAGAATAGAAATCTTCTGCTGCTGTTTGTTCATGAGGCACAGACAGGCTGTGTTCACTGCCAGGTGAGTGCTTTCTGTATACCCAAGTCTGCAACTAAACAGCGAAGTTCCCTATTTGTACCCTCAACTGACGGGGACCTGCAGCTTCTGCATGTTACAGAGATGTGTGAGTATGGAAATAATATCCTGATTACTAATATCCTCTATTTAGCAGCTGTCATGTTACGCTGTTGTTTTTCCTACCCTGTGGCAGAAAATCATCAGAGCAGGGCTGAATGAGGAAGTATCTGTGTTTGGGCAGAGCTCAGAGCTTGCGTTTTGGAGTGCCAAGTGCCTTTTTGTATGGTTTATCTTGGCCCATCTAACGCTGTGATGCCTTGATATGAATACCAGTACGCACAGTATTATGTGCCAGCGTCCCTCTGGTTTACATTATTTATTTGGAGACTATAGAGAGGTTCAGAGGCACGCTTCCTCACTTGATACTTTTGTCTGTCAGAGCTGTCATCAAACGCAGGTATCTGTCCCGACACGTACAGTATTCTCTTGATCGGCTGCCCAGGAAGCTGCTTGTACCAGTGCACGGTGTCTTCTTTTGTCAGCCGGCATGCCATGCTGGCCGAGCGGCCCTCTGCCTGAGTCCGCATTGCTGGGCTTTGCACTGGCACTGCCTGCGTGTCTCCACCTGGAAGGGAATGGAGAGAAATTGGGTGAACATGTGGTGAGGGCTCAAAACGTCTGCAGTCTGGAGCAGGGGCTGTGTTCTCCACACACGGGAAGGAGAGGAGAAAGGGAACGGGGCTTACGGGACCAGCAAGAAGCTGCCAGCAGGATGGGCAGCAGCAGCATGCTGCCTGCTTGGGTGAAGCGTGGAACAGAAGTAGGGGCAGGAAGGTTATAAAGCCCTCCAGGTGGAGAAAGAGTCAAACAGCTCTGTGGAGGAAATGACTCATTTGGCACACCCAATGGTGGTGTCTCCGCTCCTTACCATTGCTGGGTGGGGATGGGGAGGGCTACACCATGGAAACTAAAATGTAAAAAGGTCCATACCCAAGCTACTACTGACCTCTGCAGAGTCAGTGAAATCCTTTTGTGTGACCTTAAAACACCCAAGGTACCTAGAAAGACGGTCATTTCCCCAAAATCAAGAGACAAACCAAGTGTGGGAGAGGCCGTCTCCTGACTTACGCGAAATCCTAGCAAGGTACGGGGCTCTTTCTCTTATTTCAGCTGTGTTTTGACTGCATGGTCTGTCTTTCAAAGGTCTGAGCCCTCACAGTGACTGCCAGTCCAAGGCTGGCTTCTTGCTCCCACCAGCTGCAAAATCCTGTTCGTAATATAGTGCCTGATGAGAAAAGTGCCTGATGGAAGGGCTTCTTTCATATCAAAAGGACTTTTTATCATTTCCTGGTGAAGCACTTGGCATCTGTAGCTCTGAGATCATTAAACGGCTTGCTGTTGATTTCCTGCCTTCATGGCAAAGCAGTCTGAAGTGAAAACCTGTTGCTATTGGAAAAAATGTTTGTGGCTATGTGAGTGGGGGCAAAATGTGGATTTGGTAGCAGGGGGCTGCAGGGGTGGCCTCTGTGAGAAGAGTCCAGGAGCTGCCCCATGTCAGGTAAGAGCCAGCTCCAGAAGGCTCCAAAAGGGACTCACTGCTGACCCACCAGTGGCTGCATCTCCATGAGAGCAGATTCAAGAAAGAGAACTAAAAGAAAAACAATACTGCTGCACAGCAGCAGCTGGGAGAGCGAGGAGTGAGCACCAGCCCTGCAGCCCCCAGGTGAGTGCAGCAGGAGGGCAGGAGGTGCTCCAGGCAGGCAGCAGCAGTTCCCCTGCGGCCTGTGCAGGGAGAGGCCCCTGGTGGAGCAGGCTGTGCCCCTGCAGCCCATGGGTCCCTCATGGAGCAGATCTCCATGCTGCAGCCCCTCCATGGGTGGAGGAGCCCCCGTTGGAGCAGGGGTCTGGGCCCCCATTCCCCGTTCCCATGTGCCTGACTCTTGGGGGGAGAGCACAGAAGATGGTGAATGGTGGTTTGGAGTGGGGGAGGAAAGTGTTTTTAGTTGCCTTTTTATTTCTCACTGTTCCAGAGTACAAGAACAATATAGGCAATACATTTCAATAACCTCTCTGAGTCTCCGTTACCCTTGATGGTAATTGGTGAGAGATCTCCTTGTCCTTAAGTCAAGCCTGGAGCCCTTTCATCGTACTTTCTTCCCATTTTCCTTTGATTAGGTGGAGTGAGAGAGTGGTTGTGGTGTATTTCATCTTTCCAGCTGGGAAAAACCACCAGAACCAGCAAAACGTCAGCTGGAAAGGGAAGATTGCTCTTGTATAGATTCAGGTCCACCATCCAGGTCTGGTTGGAAGGAGAAGACAAACCCAGGCTAAACCTGGGAATTGAGTTCATACAGTTCAGAGTCTGAAAAATATCAACCCCCTGACCCAATGACCCAAAAAGAGAACTTTTTTTTTTTTTTTTTCCCTTAATCTTTTCTTTATAAATCTAATGCATAGTAAAGCACTGACTGTCAGGTTAAATTCCTTTATTTAACTTTCTTTCTCAAGCCATGGGCTTTGAAAAGCTCTAGGACAACATCCTGAGTTATTTCCAGGGACAGAAGCATGGAAAATTGCACATCCCTTGTAAAGAATTCCTTAAAACCAGTTCCCTGCCTCACTTGAGTAAAGTCAGGGGAAGAGAAGGTGCTGACGTTGAGTTAGGCATTTGCCCCTCACCGTTCCCTTTGCATGTGCCACTTGCTCCGTCGAAATCCCCAGCTTTTGGCAGCTGCCCCCACCAAGGAGTGGCTCAGCGCCGAGCCAGTCCCGGCTGTGCAGAGCCTGCGTGTTGAGGCCAGGCGGCTCATCCACACTGGGGGAAGTGAGTTGGGATCTTTCAAATCGTTTGTGGTTGAGCCTCTGAGGGAGTATTGGTTGAGGTGATCGCTGGGTTTCTGCTGTAGTGAGAGTCCCAGTAGGCACAGTAGTAGATAGCTGTGTCATCTGGAATTATATTGCTTATTGTAAGAGTACAAATTTTCTTTCTTGAAATCCTTTCAATTGTATATGTTCGCCCTTGGAAGTTTTCCTCCACTGATGTTTTCCCTGTTGTAATATAGAACATCCACTCTGGAGCTTTATTCTCCTTCTGCTGGTACCAATGAATGACGATGCTATCAAAATTTGTAGAGACATCTTTAAAATGACATTGCAGACGTGTACTTCCTTGAAATTTGGTGATGGATATAGGTGCCTGTATGGGAATTTCCTGTGCAAATCCATCTATGAGAGAAGAGAATGAAAGGAGAGGAGAGGAGAGGAGAGGAGAGGAGAGGAGGAGAGGAGAGGAGAGGAGAGGAGAGGAGAGGAGGAGGAAGACGATGAGAAGGTACTCTTAGATTCTCTTCAGGAGGGCGGTCTCTTCTCTTCGCTATTAGAAGTTAGATCAGATTCTAGTAGAGGAGAGGAGAGGAGAGGAGAGGAGAGGAGAGGAGAGGAGAGGAGAGGAGAGGAGAGGAGAGGAGAGGAGAGGAGAGTTTATATCACGTTATTAATGCCAATCTGGGATTTGGGAAGATATTCCTTATCAACGAGGAAAAGTAAGATAAACTAGGAGGGACTTACAAGACCAAGTGGTTGTGGCCACCAGCGCTGCCAGCAGCAGCATGTTGGCGTGTCCCACTCAGCTGTCTCAGAGCTCTCTGTTCTCCGAGTTGCGACTTGCAGAAGGAAACTGTCCCCGGGGCAGGCTGAGCTGTGCCACGTGGGAGGAGGAGGTGCCTCCCTCGGGTGGCAGCTGGAGAGCCCCTGCATCGAGCCACAGGGAAGTGTCCCCCAGGCTCCTCCTGGCAGCACCGGTGGTCAGGGAGCAAGGGCAGTGCAGTGGGAAACAGGAAGAGTTTTTCCTTAGAAATACTTGGGCATTGCAGGCACCATATTCTCATCACCAAAGTGTTTGTCAGTGGTATATGCAAGCGTCATCTGGAATGAGGGTCCATCAGCTCTGGGGAGGAAACGACTCGTTTGGTACACCCAAGGGTAGTGCCTCAACTCCGTACCATTGCTGGGTGGGGATGGGGAGGGCAGGGAACAGGGGGTTACTGCTGCTCAATTTTTTTAGCAAAAATACACCACTGCAACAAAAATGCAGAAAGGTCCATACCCAAGCTACTATCGACCTCAGCAGAGTCAGTGCAGTCCTTTTGTGGGACCGGAAAACACCCAAGGTGCCTGGAAATCTGCTCATTTCTCCCGCATCAGAAGACAAAGCAAGTGTGGGAGAGACTGACTCCTGGCTTATGAGAATTCCTAGCAAGGCATGGGGCTCTTTCTCTTATTTCAGCTGTGTTTTGACTGAATGGTCTGCCTTGCAAAGGTCTGAGCTCTCATAGTGACTGCCAGTCCAAGGGTGGCTTCTTGCTCCCACCAGCTGCAAAATCCTGTTCCTAAAACAAAGTGTGAGAAAAGTGGGAATCTGGGCCCCCATTCCCTGTTCCCATGTGCCTGACTATTGGAGGGAGAGCACAGAAGGTGGTGAATGGTGGTTGGGAGTGGGGGAGGAAAGTGTTTTTAGTTGCCTTTTTATTTCTCACTGTGCTAGAGTACAAGAACAATATAGGCAATACATTTCAATAACCTCTCTGAGTCTCCGTTACCCTTGACGATAATTGGTGAGTGATGTCCTCATCCTTAAGTCAAGCCTGGAGCCCTTTCCATCATACTTTCTAACTTTTTTCCTTTGAGGAGGGGGTGTGAAAGTGGCTGTGGTGGATTTCATCTTCCAAGCTGGGTATAACCATCACAAACATCAGCTGTCAAGGGAAGATTACTTTAGTATAGATTCAGGTCTACCATCCTGGTCTGGTTGTAAGGAGAAGAGAAACCCAGGCTGATCCTGGGAATGGAGTTCTTACAGTTCAGAGTCTGAAAAATTTAGAATCGTGGAATGATAGAAACACATCTTTGGAAAGGACCTACAATTTCTTCTAGTCCAACTGTCCTCCTATCGCCGGTAATACTCACTAAGCTACTAAATCGTTATCTTGTAGCACCTTTTCCAGGCACTTCTTGTACACCATGAGGGTAAGTGACTCCACCACCTCCCTGTGCAGGCCGTTCCAGTGCCTGACCACTCTTTGAGAGAAAAAGTTTTTCCCGATATCTAATCTAAATCTCCCCAGGTGCAACTTGTGGCCATTTCCGACACCCTCCTCATGACAACCTCCCTTCAGGAAGTTGTAGAGTGCAATGAGGTCTTCCCTGAGTCTCCTCTTCTCCAGACTAAACAACCCCAGCTCCATCAGCCGCTCCTCACAGGACTTGTGTTCCAGATCCCTCACCAGTTTTGTTGCCCTTCTCTGGACATGCTCCAGGGCCTTGATGTCCTTCTTGTAGTGAGGGGCCCCAAACTGAACACAGCACTCGAGGTGTGGCCTCACCAGAGCTGAGTACAGGGAACAATCACCTCCCTGCTCCTGCTGGCTACACTATTTCTAATATAGGCCAGGATGTTGTTGCCCTTCTTGGCCACCTTGAACGCCTCTGGCTCATGCTTAGCCAAGCATCGTCTTTTTTTAGCATAAAATTTTATTTTACCTTGCCCCATGCTTTTTACAGTTTATACACATTTGTAACAAACTTGTAACAGCAAAAAATAAATAACAGAACTAACCCTTGTTCTGATGTATGGATACATAGGATTTTTTACCATTTGCTCCTTTGTTCATACAGGATGTAACACCATGCCCAGGGAAACCCGTACCCCTGTGTAGCCTGTACCTCACCCAAACCCGCCCACGTTAATGAAGGCCTTTCCATTTTCTGCCAAGAATGAGAAAGGTACAGTATACTTTGAGTAAGCTTTTAAACAACATGTCTTCGTACTTTCCTAGGCAGTGAGAAAAAGTGACGTGTAAGCGCGTCACTTCTCCAAGAAATATTTTAGAAAGTAACAAATTTAAATGGAAATGGATGTCAGTATTCTGACCTAAATGCTTCCCTTTTGCATGCTGTTTTTTTCTAGGCAATCTGTCATGGCAATGAACTTCAGCTGTCCCAGCACACATAAGTCTTAACATTTCCTCAAAACAAGCTGAAAAGAACTATGTCAAAGATGATCAAAACAGAATACTTGGAAGTCTACATTACCTTCCAACAGCTACGTGGTTTTCTAAGACTTTGATGATTAAGACAGAGTAGGCCACTTCTCCTTTGATAGCAGAGGTTGCACTGAAGGGGGATAAAAGAATCCAAAAATAGTCGGAACAGGTATTTACACCTACTTTTGTAAATTTTACAAATCTAATACTCTGACAAAAGGTTTTATATCTCAAACAGTTAATGCTGACTGCATGTTAAAATTTCGCATTTACCCAAGCTCTTCCTGAAAAGCCATGGTAGTCTGAGATGCACTCAAACCTGCACCTGTGCCAGCTATAAGGAGCATCTACTCACACATTGCAAAGAAAATGTTAACTTCAAAAACATTGGAAGTAATAAGTCCAAGTAAAACATTTATTCTTAAATATTTTTTTGAAAGTGCTTCATTTATCTACCAGGATTGTTAAAGAAAGGTGAAAGCAATTTATTGACTCAATGCATTAGAGTCAATTTCTAACCCTCATATCCATACACCTTACCCAAAAAGACACCATTGTCATTTCCTTAATCTCTTCTTTGTAAAAAGAATAGATGAGAAAGCACTGATCTTCAGGTTAAAGTTTTGTATTTTGGTTTACTGTTTGGTTTACTTTCAAAAGCTCCGGGACAACATACTGAGTTATTTCCAGGAACAGCAGCATGGAAATAAGCCCCTTTCCACTAAAGAAATCCTTACAAACAGTTCCTGCCTCACCTGAGAAAAATCAGTGGATGAGGAAGTGCCGAGGCTGGGTTAGGCATTCGCCTTTCACCGTTACTTTTGCACGTGCCACTCGCTCCGTCGAAATCCCCAGATTTTGGCAGCTGCCCCCTCCAAGGAGTGGTTCAGCACCGAGCCAGTCCCGGCTGTGCAGAGCCTGCATGTTGAGGCCGGGCAGCTCATCTACGCTGGGGGAAGTGAGTTGGGATCTTTCAAATCGTTTGTGGTTGAGCCACCGAGGGAGTATTGGTTGAGGTTATCGCTGGGTTTCTGCTGTAGTGAGAGTCCCAGTAGGCACAGTAGTAGGTAGCTGTGTCATCTGGAACTATACTTTTTATTATGAGAGTACAAATTTTCTGTTTAGAAACCCTTTCAATTGTATAAGTGCGGCTTTGGAAGCTCTCATCCACTGCTGTTGTCCCTGTTAAAATGTAGAACATACGCTCTGGAGCTTCATTCTCCTTCTGTTGGTATCAGTGAATAATGGTGTCATCAAAGTTTGTAGAGACACCTTTAAAATGACATTGCAGGCGTGTTGTTCCTCGAGATTTGGTGATGGATATAGGTGTCTGTGTGGGAATTTCCTGCGCAAATACATCTACAAGAGAACAGAATTGAAGAGAACTGAAGAGAATTCAGAAGGGAAGGGAAGGGAAGGGAAGGGAAGGGATTGGAAGGGAAGGGAAGGGAAGGGAAGGGAAGGGAAGGGAAGGGAAGGGAAGGGAAGGGAAGGGAAGGGAAGGGAAGGGAAGGGAAGGGAAGGGAAGGGAAGGGAAGGGAAGGGAAGGGAAGGGAAGGGAAGGGAAGGGAAGGGAAGGGAAGGGAAGGGAAGGCAGAGGAGAAATAATGTTTTTAACCAGCAGTCAAGGATTTGGGAAAATATCTGTTAGTGCAACCATGTTTGCCTGTGAGGGAATGCAAGATAAAGTACAAAGCACTTACCAAACCAAGCTGTGGTGGCCACAAGTGCTGCCAGCAGAAGCATGTTTGCTGGTCCCGCTCAGCTGAGACTCAGAGGAGAGGGAAAGAGGCCCCAGATGGGGACAGGGTTGAGTGGGAGGAGCAGACGTCTCCAGCGATGGCTTTTGTGGGCGCAACCTTGTGGGGCTACGTTTGCAGAGAACCCTTTCCCAGCCTGGGAAAGGACTTAGACCTGGGAATGCTCACGCTGGTGAGGACGTTGTCATCCCATCAGCTTTTCAGAAAGACTGGTAAGTCCAAGGAGCGTGGCATGTGGCAACTTGAGGCAGAGCTGCTGAGAAGGGGTTGAGAGTGAGAGCAGCTGCAGCCGTACATCAGGGCGTGAAGCTCCCAGTCCAGAGGCCACCCTGGTGGGCGCTGAGTGTGTGCGGTCCCCCGCAGTGGCAGGAGGCATGTCCCCACCCCGTCAGGGACCATGTCTTGCTGCCTCAGCCTGGCCACCCAGCTGCACCTGCTGAAATGTCCCTGTGCCTGTGCTGCCCCCACTGCAGCAGCTTGTGGGGATCAACCTGCAGCAACCACAGCAGCATCCCCAGGAGCAGGCGCCTCGCCTGTGGTTTTCTGTGGGGAGGAAATGCACAGCTGCAGGGCTTGGGTTTTGAAGCTGAGGTGAGCTGCAAGCACTTCTTGGATAAAAAGGCTGGAAGAGAAAGGCAGAGAAAAAAGTACAGGACTCTGCATGTCCCCCTCTCAGACATGGTGAGGTTGCCATCAGCCCATTTCTCCAGCCTGACAAGGTGTCTCTGGATGGCAGCATGTCCCTCTGGTGATGACAGTAGAGGTCTAGCATGACCCCCACTCCTCCCAGGTTGGTGTTGTCTACAAACATGCTGAGGGAACACTCTGTCCCATCATCCAAAGCCTTAAGGAAGATGTTAGACAGGACTGGACCCAGGGCTTTGTGCCACTGATCACCACCCTTGGGGCCCAACTGCTCAGCCCATCTTTCGGTCTCCTCCTCCAGCCCCTCACATCAGCACTCTTTCTCTTAGGCTCTTAGGGGTTACAGTGTCAAGGGCTTTAATCAAGTCCCCAGACTATCTGCACTGCTCTCCCCTCATCCAGCAGGCTGGCCATTTCATTGTAGAAGTGTATGGGATTGGTCAAGAATGACTTCTCTGTGGTGAACCCATGCTGAGTACTGCTGATGATCTCCTTGCTGTCTGTCTGTTTGTTGGAGGCATAGGCCATGGCTGAGGACCTGTCTTCTGGACACCTCAGGGGAGAAACTGTGATGATAAAATGGCATTTCTGGTCTGTTGTAGGACTTTGTAGGGACTGAAATGCCAAGGAAAAAAGCAGGAAAATGGGAAGGAAAGTCTACCAAATCATGCAGTCTTCTCTCCTTGTTTCACATGCGCAGCTGATTTCAAGAGGGAGCAGCAAGGGGATGGTTTTATATTGGTCTGCTTGCTCCATGGATTCCAATAAACAATAGAAATCTTCAGCTGCTGTTTCTTCACAAGACACAGACAGGCTGCGTTCACTTTGTACTTTCTTTGCTGTCATCTTGACAGCAAAGTTCCCATTTGCACCTCAGGAGTGCTATGAAAATGTGAAGGACCTAGAGGGGAAGACATATGAGGAGCGGCTGAGGTCACTTGGCCTGTTCATCCTGGAAAAGAGGAGGCTGAGGGGAGACCTCATTGTGGCCTACAGCTTCCTCACAAGGGGGAACAGATGGACAGGTGCCAATCTATTCTCCTCAGTCACCAGTCATAGGACCCTCGGGAATGGTGTCAAGCTGAGGCAGGGGAGGTTCAGGCTAGACATCAGGAAGAGGTTCTTCACCGAGAGGGTGGTCACACACTGGAACAGGCTCCCCAGGGAAGCAGTCACTGCACCAAGCATGTTGGAGTTTAAGAAGCAATTTGTCTGTGCACTTAGTCACATGGTCTAAAAATCTGGGTAGACTTGTGTGGTGCCAGGAGTTGGACTCAATGATCTTTATGGGTCCCTTTCAGCTCGAGATATTCTATGATTCTGTGGTTCATTTGATAGGGCCTTGAAGCTTCTGCTTGTTACAGAGATGTGTGAGTTTGGAAATAATATCCTGATTATTAACATCCTCTATTTAGCAGTTGTCATGTTACGTTGTTGTTTTTCCTATCCTATGGCAGAAAATCATCAGAGCGGGGTTGAATGGGGAAGTGTCTGCATTTGGGCAGAGTTCATAGCTTGCGGTTCGGAGTGCCAAGTGCCTTTTTGTATGGTTTATCTTGGCCCATCTAACGCTGTGATGCCTTGATAATAATACCAACGTGCACAGTAGTAAGTGCCAGCGTCCCTCTGGGTTAAGAAATCAATTGTGAGACTATAGAGAGGTTCAGAGGCACGCTTTCACACTTGATACTTTTGTCTGTCAGAGCCATCATCAAAAACAGGATTCATTTCTGACATGTACAGTATCCTCTTGGGTGGCTCTCCAGGAAGCTGCTTGTACCAGTGTATGATGGCATTACTGCTCAGCCGGCACTCCATTCTGGCTGAGATGCTCTTCACCTGCCTCTGCATCGCCGGGCTTTGCACCGGCACCGCCTGTGCATCTCCACCTGGAAGAGAATGGGGAGAAATTGGGTGAAAACTTGGTGAGGGCTCAAAACGTCTGCAGTCTGGAGCAGGGCCTGTGTTCTCCGCACAGGGGAAGGAGAGGGAAAAGGGAACGGGGCTTAAGGGACCAACAAGAAGCTGCCAGCAGGACGGGAAGCAGCAGCATGCTGCCTACTTGGGTGAAGCGTGGAACTGGAGTAGGGGCGGGAAGGTTATAAAGCCCTCCAGGTGGAGAAGGAGTCAAACAGCTCTGGGGAGGAAATGACTCTTTTGGCACACCCAATGGTGTCGCCTCAACTCCTTACCATTGGTTTGGGAGGGGTAATGTGGATGAATAGGAGGTTGCTGCTGCTTAAATTTTCTGGCAAAATAGACCATGGCAATAAGAATGTAGAAAGAACGTAAGAGATTCGATCTGAAGTCATTTTGTTCCTGTGTCCCTATGGTCCCTGTGTCCCTGTTCCGCCCAGACTCACCTGGAACTCCTGCTGAGTGCACACATTCACAGTGGGTCTGTTCCTCCTGCCCATCCCCTGGATGCTCTCCTCTCCTCAGACCCCACCGCTGTCCTAGAAGCACGTTTCCCCAGCCTTCCCTAGAAAATACGACCTGCTCTGGAAGCTCTGTGGGCCAGTTCCTTGTGACTTTTGTCTTACTCTTGCTTGGAACAGCTCCAGCAGGTCTGTTCAGCCTTCTGCATCTCCCCAGCCTTGGTCTGCCCCAGGCGGTCCCAGAGGACCAAGCCCAGCAGCTCCTCAGGGCTGTTCCTCCGGCAGCAGTGTCCTGCGAGCAGCCCGGCGGTGGGCAGGTCCCATGGGCAGTGCCTGTGGCCTTCCTGATGGGTTTGTAGCACCAAGGAGGAGAGGTGCAGCTGGTGTCTCTGTGGCAGGAGAGCCCTGGTGGCTGTGACAAAGTCACAGTGAGATGTGTGCATCTCCCAGGCAGCTGTTTGCTGCCCTCTGCTTTTTCAGAGTGAGTAGAGCTGAGGCAGGAAAATCTTGGACATTTTCTGATCCCACAAAGAGAACCCTTTCCGGATTTTCTCTAGGTCTTTGTTGACAGTATCATAAGGAACAAAATCTGCTAAGAACTGAAGGAACACTGTAGTGACCGGCACAGTTACAGATCAGACTTTCTGTGTCTGTTGCAAGAGGACACATGCACTGGAGAGGGCCTTCTTCTGCAATATAGCTTTGTCTTTCTTATCTCATCAGACGAATACTCTTTAACAATTTACACCTGAAGGAATCGAGTGAGGAGAGTCACAGGGTATGATACTACAGGAAAACATTCAAAGGAGGCCTGATGCTAGAGAAAAACCTCTGTGGATGAACTTCTGAGGCATGAGGGTAGCACGAATGTTGAAGCTGTAGCTGGGAGGGATGCATTGCTTATGAGGCATCAATAGGGAATGCTGTTGTGAAATAGGAAAGGTCTTTTCTTAGGCACTAGCTTAGGCATCTGTCCTGGTTTTGGCTGGGATACAGATAATTTTCTTCCTAGTAGCTGGTATCATGCAGTGTTTTGGATGTAGGGTGGGAATAATGATGATAACACACTGATGTTTCAGTGGTGGCTGAGCAGTGCTTACACTAAGCCAAGGACTTTTCAGCTGCTCTTGGTGCCGGGCCAGCGAGGGGTTGGGGGTGCTGGGAGGGGACCCAGCCAGGAAAAGTGACCCAGAGTGGGCAAAGTACATCCATACTTTATGGTGCTGCTAAGCAGTAAATCTGGGAGGGTTGGCAGGGGGTCTGAGGAGGCAGATGCTGCTCAGGGTCTGTCTGGGCCTTGGTCAGCAGGGGATGAGTGATTGCCTTGTCTATTCTGGTCTTGTATATTTTTCTCTGTTATCTCAAGTGGAGATAACAGAGAAGCGCTGGAGATAAAGGCAGCCCACTGGGCAAAACATAAGCTGCCCACATGAGGAAGGCAAACCCAGTAATTCATTCGCTGCTTCCCTTTGGCAGGCAGGTGTTCAGCCACTCCAGGAAAGCAGGACTCATCTTGCGTAATGGCTTTTTGGGAAGACCAAGTCTATTGCTCCAAATGTCCCCCACTTCCTCCTTCTCTACCCCAGCTTTTGTTCCCGAGCATGATGCCATATGGTGTGGGACATCTCCTTGGTCAGCCTGGGCCAGCTGTCCAGGCTGTGTCCCCTCACAGCTCCTGGGGCACCCCAGCCTCCTTGCTGGATGGGCAGCACAAGAAGCAAAACCAAGTCCCAGGCCCTGTGTAAGCACTGCTCTGCAACATGGTGAAACATTGCTGTGGTGTCACCACTGCTTTCATCAAAATCCAAAACACTGCATTGTGTGAGCTTCTACAAAGAACATTAACTCACTCCCAGCCATATCTATGACACTTTATCATAACTGTTATCATTATTTTCCACAACAACAACATCGCCTCCAACTTTTTGGAGTGATTAAGATGTGTCTCTATTGTGCTGAATGGCAGTGAGACCCAGAGTGAAAGCAAGAAAAATGGGGAAGGTGATGGACACATCTCAAGAAGGGAGAACAACAATGCCCATGTCCAAATTTCTGGAGGATCAAATTAAAAAGCTTTCTGCTTCCACAGCTGCTAAAATTAAAACCAAAATAAGACATTATTTTCAAGATTTTTTTTCGGGAGGAGGGGCGGGAGGGGGACTGGACTTTGAAAAGATCCAGGACAACAAACCAAGCTATTTCCTGGAACAGCAGCATGGAAAATTGCCCATTCTAGTAAAGAAATCCTTACAATCAGTTCTCTGGCTCACTTGAGCAAAATACGGGGAAGAGGAAGTGCTGAGGTAGGTTTGGGCATTTGCAATCCACTGTTCCCTTTGAACGTGCTACTTGCTCCATCGAAGTCCCCAGCTTTTGGCAGCTGCCCCCTCCAAGGAGTGGCTCAGCGCCGACACAGTCCCGGCTGTGCAGAGCCTGCGTGTTGAGGCCAGGCAGTTCATCCACACTGGGGGAAGTGAGTTGGGATCTTTCAAATCGTTTGTGGTTGAGCCACTGAGGGAGTATTGGTTGAGGTGATCGCTGGGTTTCTGCTGTAGTGAGAGTCCCAGTAGGCACAGTAGTAGGTAGCAGCAACATCTGGAGCTATGTTTTTTATTGTAAGAGTACAAATTTTCTGTTTAGAAACCCTTTCAATTGTATACGTGCGCCCTTGGAAGCTCTCATCCACTGCTGTTGTCCCTGTTGAAATGTAGAACATCCGCTCTGGAGCTTTATTCTCCTTCTGCTGGTACCAATGAATGACGATGCTATCAAAATTTGTAGAGACATCTTTAAAATGACAATGCAGACGTGTACTTCCTTGAGATTTGGTGATGGATATAGGTGTCTGTATGGGAGTTTCCTGTGCAAATCCATCTATGAGAGAAAAGAATGAAAGAAGAGAGGAGAGGAGAGGAGAGGAGAGGAGAGGAGAGGAGAGGAGAGGAGAGGAGAGGAGAGGAGAGGAGAGGAGAGGAGAGGAGAGGAGAGGAGAGGAGAGGAGAGGAGAGGAGAGGAGAGGAGAGGAGAGGAGAGGAGAGGAGAGGAGAGGAGAGGAGAGGAGAGGAGAGGAGAGGAGAGGAGAGGAGAGGAGAGGAGAGGAGAGGAGAGGAGAGGAGAGGAGAGGAGAGGAGAGGAGAGTTTATATCACGTTATTAATGCCAATCTGGGATTTGGGAAGATATTCCTTATCAACGAGGAAAAGTAAGATAAACTAGGAGGGACTTACAAGACCAAGTGGTTGTGGCCACCAGCGCTGCCAGCAGCAGCATGTTGGCGTGTCCCACTCAGCTGTCTCAGAGCTCTCTGTTCTCCGAGTTGCGACTTGCAGAAGGAAACTGTCCCCGGGGCAGGCTGAGCTGTGCCACGTGGGAGGAGGAGGTGCCTCCCTCGGGTGGCAGCTGGAGAGCCCCTGCATCGAGCCACAGGGAAGTGTCCCCCAGGCTCCTCCTGGCAGCACCGGTGGTCAGGGAGCAAGGGCAGTGCAGTGGGAAACAGGAAGAGTTTTTCCTTAGAAATACTTGGGCATTGCAGGCACCATGTTCTCATCACCAAAGTGTTTGTCAGTGGTATATGCAAGCGTCATCTGGAATGAGGGTCCATCAGCTCTGGGGAGGAAACGACTCGTTTGGTACACCCAAGGGTAGTGCCTCAACTCCGTACCATTGCTGGGTGGGGATGGGGAGGGCAGGGAACAGGGGGTTACTGCTGCTCAATTTTTTTAGCAAAAATACACCACTGCAACAAAAATGCAGAAAGGTCCATACCCAAGCTACTATCGACCTCAGCAGAGTCAGTGCAGTCCTTTTGTGGGACCGGAAAACACCCAAGGTGCCTGGAAATCTGCTCATTTCTCCCGCATCAGAAGACAAAGCAAGTGTGGGAGAGACTGACTCCTGGCTTATGAGAATTCCTAGCAAGGCATGGGGCTCTTTCTCTTATTTCAGCTGTGTTTTGACTGAATGGTCTGCCTTGCAAAGGTCTGAGCTCTCATAGTGACTGCCAGTCCAAGGGTGGCTTCTTGCTCCCACCAGCTGCAAAATCCTGTTCCTAAAACAAAGTGTGAGAAAAGTGGGAATCTGGGCCCCCATTCCTTGTTCCCGTGTACCTGACTCTTGAAGGGAGAGCACAGAAGATGGTGAATGGGGGTAGGGGTGGGAGAGGAAAGTGTTTTTAGTTTCCATTTCATTTCTCAGTGTGTTAGACTTCTAGTGATAGGCAATAAATTTTATTAGTCTCTCTACCTTGAGTTTCCTTTACACATTACGATAATTGGTGAGTGATCTCCTTGTCCTTCCTAAACCTCCTCTTTGTAAAACTAATACTTGAAAAAACACTGATCTTCAGATTAAAGTTCTGCATTTTGGATTACTGTTTGGTTTACTTTGAAAAGCTCCAGGACAACATACTGAGTTATTTCCAGGAACAGCAGAATGGAAATAAGCCCCTTTCCACTAAAGAAATCCTTACAACCAGTTCCCTGCCTGACTTGAGTAAAATCAAGGGAAGATGAAGTGCCAAGGCTGGGTTAGGCATTCGCCTTTCACCGTTACTTTTGCACATGCCACTTGCTCCGTCGAAATCCCCAGATTTTGTCAGCTGCCCCCACCAAGGAGTGGCTCAGCACCGAGTCAGTCCTGGCTGTGCAGAGCATGCGTGTTGAGGCCGGGGGAAGTGAGTTGGGATCTTTCAAATCGTTTGTGGTTGAGCCACCAAGGGAGTATTGGTCAAGGTGATCGCTGGGTTTCTGCTGTAGTGAGGGTCCACATAGGCACAATAGTAGGTAGCTGTGTCATCTGGAACTATACTTTTTATTATGAGAGTACAAATTTTCTGTTTAGAAGCCCTTTCAATTGTATAAGTGCGGCCTTGGAAGCTCTCATCTAATATTTTTGCCCCTGATGAAACAAAGAACATCTACTCTGGAGCTTTATTCCCCTTCTGTTGGTACTAGTGTATTCTAGTGGTATCAGAATCTTCAGAGACATGTTTAAAATGACATTGCAGGTGTGTTGTTCCTCCAGATTTGGTGATGGATATAGGGGTCTTTATGGGAATTTCCTGTGCAAATCCATCTACGAGAGAAGAGATTTGAAGGCACTTGAAAGGAATTGGGAAGGGAAGGGAAGGGAAGGGAAGGGAAGGGAAGGGAAGGGAAGGGAAGGGAAGGGAAGGGAAGGGAAGGGAAGGGAAGGGAAGGGAAGGGAAGGGAAGGGAAGGGAAGGGAAGGGAAGGGAAGGGAAGGGAAGGGAAGGGAAGGGAAGGGAAGGGAAGGGAAGGGAAGGGAAGGGAAGGGAAGGGAAGGGAAGGGAAGGGAAGGGGAGGGGAGGGGAGGCGAGGCGAGGCGAGGCGAGGCGAGGCGAGGCGAGGCGAGGCGAGGCGAGGCGAGGCGCGGGAATGTTATTAACTGCCAAGCAGGGATTTGGGAAGATATTCCTTATCAACGAGGAAAAGTAAGATAAACTAGGAGGGACTTACAAGACCAAGTGGTTGTGGCCACCAGCGCTGCCAGCAGCAGCATGTTGGCGTGTCCCACTCAGCTGTCTCAGAGCTCTCTGTTCTCCGAGTTGCGACTTGCAGAAGGAAACTGTCCCCGGGGCAGGCTGAGCTGTGCCACGTGGGAGGAGGAGGTGCCTCCCTCGGGTGGCAGCTGGAGAGCCCCTGCATCGAGCCACAGGGAAGTGTCCCCCAGGCTCCTCCTGGCAGCACCGGTGGTCAGGGAGCAAGGGCAGTGCAGTGGGGAACAGGAAGAGTTTTTCCTTAGAAATACTTGGGCATTGCAGGCACCATGTTCTCATCACCAAAGTGTTTGTCAGTGGTACATGCTAGTGTCAGCTGGAATGACATCCCTGGTCATAAGGACACACCGATTCTGCTCGGAAACCCTTTCAGCTCTGTACCTGTCTCTTTGAAAGCCACTTTCCACTGAAGTCTTCCCTTCTGCAAAGAGCAGTAGCCTCTCTGGAGTTTCATTCTTCTTCCATTTATGCCAGTGTAAGACAGTACTATCAAATGTTGTTGGTAAGCTTTTGATTTCACAGGACAGTCATGAAATTTTCTTGAACTTGCTAATGGATATAGAATTCTGTAAGGGAATTTCCAGTGAAAATCCATCTATAAGTAGAAAAGAGGTAGAATAATCTTGTAAGTTGGAATTTAGGAATTTAGGAGTAAGTGCAGCAATGGGCACCCTCTGAGGAAAGGTTACAAAGTGAGAAGGACAGGGACCTGCCACTGTTTCTGCCTCTGTGAGAGCAGATTTAAGAAAGTGAAAAAGAAACTCCTGCACAACAGCAGCTGGGAGAGCGGGGAGAGAGCACCAGCCCTGCAGCCCCCCAGGTGAGTGCAGCAGGAGGGCAGGAGGTGCTCCAGGCAGGCAGCAGCAGTTCCCTTGCAGGCTGTGGAGAGGCCCCTGGAGGAGCAGGCTGTCCCCCTGCAGCCCATGGGTCCCACATGGAGCAGATCTCCACGCTGCAGAGGAGGTGGTTCATTTCAGCAGTATTCAATAGCAGGTCTTTTGCTGACCCTTGGGCCACAGGCTCAGAAAATACCAGAACTGCTGAGGTTGTCAAGGGCCTCTTAGGGCCCCCAAGTGCAACCCTGGTTCAAGCAGGGTCGCCTAGAGCAGGTGGCCCAGGACTGTTTCCAGTGGGTCCCCATGGAGGCTCCACCTCGCCTCGGGACAACCCATTCCAGTGTTGGACTGCCCTCATGGTTAGAAAGGGTTTTCTTGTGTTCAGATTGATTTTCATTTCATTTGAGTTTCTGTTGGTGCCCATTGCCTCACAGGGCACCATGTGAAGGAGCCTGGCTCTGGGCCCTTTACACCCCCTTCAGGGATTTATAGACATTGAGGGGCTCTCCGGTCTGAAGAGTTCCAGCTCTCTCAGCCTCTCCTCTTAAGACAGGTGCCCCAGTGATTCATGGAAGAACTCAAAGCAAACGAGTTATAAAGTAGGTATGTAGTTTATTTCAGCGCCGGGCACATGTGGGATAGTTCCCAAAGGCATGGGCACCTTAACATGGCAACTTGCTTTGGTTATATGCAGTAAAAAGTTACATACGCTTGAAGTTTTCAATACGCCTATACATATTCATAACCTATCCCCGCTTTGTATTAAAATTAGCTCCAAGGAGTCATTTCCATAAACTCCTCCCATCTGCGCCTGTGCAGTGCCTTCTGGTGGTGGTCATCGGGGATTGTGGGGATGAAGGCCGATAACTCCTCTTCATCACCACTGGTTGACCCCCTGCCTTTGTACAGACTCAGCTGCTCCTTGGCTCTTGTCCAAACCACAAGCTCGGTCTCAGGTGGTTTTTGAGACAGGTTCTCCATTTTGTCAGGAAACATCTTCTGTGAGGGGCCCCAAGACTCCTTATTTTGGCTAGTAAGAAAAGACACTCCGAAATATCTACTTCAATGCGATTAAGCAAGCCCCCATTCTTTCTTTCCTGGCTTTAATAATTATGATTGTTTTATTTAGAAATCATTAATGCGATTAAGCAAGCCCCCATTCTTTTATCCCTGGCTTCATCAGTCCCTTCATGAGCCCAGAACTGGACTCAGCTCTCCAGGTGGAGCCAACCAAATGCCAAGCAAAGGGAAAGGATCACCTCCCCCAGCCTGCTGGCAGCACTTTGCCTCATGCAGCTCGGGGGTACTGACAGCCATCTTGGCAGCAAGGGCACGACGTTTACTCTCATTCCTTCACTAGACATCCAGCCAGGTCCTTTTTTGCATAGCTGTTTTCCTGCAGGCTGGCTGCAGGGATCCCAGGATAGACCTTCACTGGAAATACAACCCATCTGTGCTCCCTCCCTTCCCTTGACGTTGTTGTTGTTTCTTTTTTTGCTAGCTCAGACCATGTTGGGAAAGCATCCACCTTCAGCAAAGACTGTGTAAGCAGTGCTGCCTCTCTTTGTCATCACCCACAGGGGTGCTCCTTTGCCCCACCCCAGTGCATTTTGCCCGCGGAGGCTGCAGCGCACTGCGTTTCTTGCCTGTTCTATTTGTCAACTCTTCATACTTCCTTCCTCAGTGGAAGGGATGCCCCAGGAGGGACGTTTGAGGAGCTGAGAGGCGGCTGCAGGAAGGTAATGTTGGTTCCCTGCATCTGAGAGGACGCCTGCCACTCAGGCTGCAACCGCCTTTCTGTACAGGCTGCCTACGATCGTCTCGCTCTGTGAGACTGCCAGTAGGCACAGTAGTAGGTACCTTCATCATCCTCACGTATGTCTTTGACTGACAGGGTGCAGGTATTTTTGCCTCTTTTAGAAGAGTGGTACTTGTCCTTGTAGGAATCCTTGTCGTAGGAAATCTGTGCTGTTGAGGTCACATACAGAAGCCGTTCGGGAGCCCTGGAGGGTATGTGTCGGTACCAGTGGATGTAAGCATCCTGGAAGTCATCTATGCCCTCGACTTTGCAATCGATCACTGCTGTCGAAGACGTCCTTTTGGTGAGAGATGGCTGACGCTGTTGCAGCAGCACTTGTGCTTGTCCATTGGACAGGAGAGAAAGTAATACAACGAGCACTGCCAGCCGCCTGCTCATGGTCGTATGCATGAGAGCCGCTTGCTGCTGCTCCCCACACTGCCCTCCTGAGAGGGGGAACGCGTGTGACCAGGCTGCAGCCAGGGCCAGGACCGGCAGCGGCAGCATCCCGATGGCGCTCGCTCACCTCCGGCTGGGGGAGAAAGATGCTGCCTCTGCAGCAGGGCCAGGGGGCTGAGCCTGAGGAGAGGATGTGACTCACTTGGGGGCCTTGGGGAGAGGGGCCCCAGGAAGCAGGCAGGTAATGCTGCAGGAAAGCAGCGCTGCCAAACCCTGCTGAATGGTAGCGGTCGTTTATAGTCTGGAGCAACCTACTGCTGCGTTCAGAGGAGTTGGAAGCTGCTACGCAGTACCTGGGCTCAGAGGCTTTCCCAGCTGAATAGGGGCACTCTGCTCTTGTACAGCTGTGCCAGGTGTCTGAGCTTTCCCTCTTCTGCGAGGTGCGACTGATACGTCAGTGCTACATGTGCGGTAAGGTTTTTCTTCTTCCTTTTCTCTCTCTCTCCTGCCATACCTGGGGAAATCCCCTTTTTGTTGCTGAAGTGAAATGACTTCTCTGCTGGTGCCAGCCACAGAGAGCATCTGGAGAGCCTGCACCAGCCCTGCAGCGCCTTTGATGTCCCGCTGCCTGAGAAGTGTGCTCGATGGGCTAGGGGCTGATGGGGAGGCAGGGTGGGCACGTTTCTTGAGGTTTTGGGCATTTCAGGGTATGGTCCAGGAAGCGGAGCACATCTTTGTGCAGGCTGCCTATGGCTCTCTGCTGCTGTGCATCCCACCTGGCGCAGTAGTAGGTACCAGCATCTCGCAGGGTGACTTTGGTCACCGTCAGGGTGCAGAGAGATTTGCCCACGTCCTTCTCAATGCTGAATTTCCCCTCATCTTCCCGGTTCGCAAGGAAGAGCGTGGATGCCATGTAGGCAACGCGCTCGGGAGCTGCCCCAGGCCTCGTGCGGTACCAGTGAATGAAAGCTTTGTCAAAGTCAGGGACGGAGACGTGGCAGGTGATGAGCACCGTTTTGCTTTCGGGCTTGGTGACGGATACCGGGCTTTGCTGCAAGGCTCGTGCAGGACTGCCTGTAGGAAAGCAAGAGGGAAATGAGGAATGCAAGGCTGAAGCAGCAGCAGAGCTTCGCCCGGGACGTGCAGGCAGTGGGGTGAGCAGGGCACGTACAAGAGAAAGCAGCTGCCAGGACGAAAGATCTCAGCAGCCACATGGTCGCTGACCTCCGTAGGGCTTCCATGCGGGGACAGGCTCGGAGCCAGCTTCGAGCACTGGCCAAGCGGATCTGAGCAGGAAAAACCACTTGTCTTGTTGACGTGCAATGAGGCTGTGCCAGCTGCAGGTGGGCCAAAAAGTATGTGGGGGCCTTTCTTTGCCACGTCTTCCACCCTCGGGAGTCCCTGCAGGTGTGCCCAGCCAGGCCAGCAGGAGCCTGCAGCCAGGTGAGGTTTGCAGCCCTCACCCGCCTGTGGTGGGGAGCACAGCCTGGGTTGTGTGCCGGCTGCCTGAGGGTTTTCTACGGCTGTGCTCTCCCAGTAAGCACAGTAATAGGTGGCTTCCTGCTCCTTTGTGACTCTTTTTATTGTGAGAGTACAGATGGGCTCCGTCTTCTTCTTCTCAGCCCCAAAAGTTTCCCTGTAGGACTGGTCGTAGTACGCAGCCGCCCCTTTCTGCACATACAGAAGGTGCTGTGGGGCTTCCCCGGGTTTCTGCTGGTACCAGTGGATGTAGGCATTGGGAAAGTCTGACCCCGAGAAGTGGCAGTCGATCCGCGCAGTGCTGTATGCCACTCTGCGCACGGAAGGTTTTGGCTGCCGGAGGATTTGCGCGGCTCCATCTGCAAGGGAAAGCAGAGGAACAGCACTGCAGTGACAGCAGGAGCGACCCCCGGGGGCTCCCTGACCCCGCAGCTTGCACCTACGACTTACAGGAGCAAAGGGCTGCAGCAGCCAGAAGCACCTGCAGCAGCAGCATGCGTGTTGCACGACGTGGAGTCTGCCTCCGTGACCTGGCCTGGGCAGAGTGCGTCCGTCCCTGGTCCCTGGCGAGAGGGAGGGAGGGAGCAGGCGCTGGAGGGGCAGTAAGGAGTGGCTCAGGCACCTGGCACCCAATGGCAGCTCCTCTGCGTGGCTCCAGCTCCTGGGGGCCAGGGGTCTCCTTGCCCCTGGGAACCTCCCTGCAAGTGCTGGTGCCCTGCAGGTGGATGCCACTGCCTGTCGCAGCTACCCGAATTCAGCCCGGTGTGAGCAGCCACAGCTTGGCTTTACGGCAGCTGCCTCGTGGCCAGCTGAACGCACTGTAGCACGGTCACAGGTGGGTTGCTGCAGCAGCTCCTTGCCCACTCATGGATTTGTGCCTCACTTTTAGCCTGGGTTCCTCTTGCTTCATCTCCACCTGGGTATATCTTTGCTTGTTGGAGGGAGAGACGAGATAAGAGAGCTTCCACCTGAAATCCCTCTTCCTGTGGTGGTGGGGGTAGGAAGAGTAGTTTCCCCATGCTGCAAATGATGTGGCAATGCTTTCAAACTGTTACTGAAAGCTGCAGTAATTTAAAAGTCAGAAATATGCAGCAAAAGCATGCTCAGCCCTCAAATAAGCCTTCTGGTCCCTGGCCCTACCCCTGCCATTTTCCACATCCCTGAGAAAGTGGCCTTTCTCTCTACCCATCAGGGGCAGCTGTCTTTGTACTTAGCCACCTCCCATGGTCCGGGTGCCACACTAGAACTGAGCACCTGGGATATGTGTCTAGCTCACTAGCTTAAACAGAAATGCTTTCTAGTCATGACATCTTCTGGACATCGGTAGCGATACACTCACATTCCTATTTTTAGTTTCCTCTTTATATTTATAAACATCTGTCTATGTCTTGTGCTTATTTAGTATCTAATTTTCTCATCAAGCAGTGTTTGATTCCCAAATCTGATGCTGCACATGGGCCTACGAATTTTTCTATCATCTGGCATTTATCAGGCAAGCCCAAATCTCATGATTACACATTCAATACCAAGATCTGAACACGTGCTGATGAGCAACCCTCTGCCCGGCTTGACGCCATCTCCACTGCTTCCCCATTAAGAATGTCTCAAGAATAGGCTTTATAATGGCAGTTTCCTGATGCTGATGCTGCCACATTCCTTTCTTGAAGTACAAACCAGTTGCTTACTCAACACGTAATTTTCCCAACCCTTTCAAGTAAGTCTCCCAATTTATGCCCCTAGATCGATGGGACTTTCTCACTCCAAGTCAGAGGGAGTCTTCCCCCTCATCTCAGTGGGATTTTGAAAGCACTCAAGCTTTCAAGGGAAATTTTTCTTCAGTTTTCTGTGTCAAACCACGGGCTTTGAAAAGCTCCAGGACATCATGCTGAGTTATTTCCAGGAACAGCGGCATGGAAGATTTCCCCTGTCCAGTAAAGACATCCTTACAACCAGTTCCCTGCTTGAGTAAACCAGTTTCCTCACTTGAGTAAAATCAGGGGAAGAGGAGGTGCTGAGGTTGAGTTAGGCATTTGCCCTTCACTGTTCCCTTTGCACGTGCCACTTGCTGCGTTGAAATCCCCAGCTTTTGGCAGCTGCCCCCTCCAAGGAGTGGCTCAGCGCCGAGCCAGTCCCGGCTGTGCAGAGCCTGCGTGTTGAGGCCGGGTGGCTCATCCACGCCGGGGGAAGTGAGTTGGGATCTTTCAAATCGTTTGTGGTTGAGCCTCTGAGGGAGTATTGGTCGAGGTGATCGCTGGGTTTCTGTCATAGTGAGAGTCCCAGTAGGCACAGTAGTAGGTAGCTGTGTCATCTGGAACTATGCTTTTTATTATGAGAGTACACATTTTCTGGTCAGAAACCGTTTCAACTGTATACCTGCGCCCTTGGAAGCTCTTATCTGCTCTTGTATTCCTTGTTGTAACGTAGAACATCCACTCTAGGGCTTTATTCACCTTCTGTTGGTACCAGTGAATTATGGTGTTATCAAAATTTGCAGAGACACGTTTAAAATGACACAGCACACGTGTACTGCCTTGAGATTTGGTTATGGATACAGGGGTCTGTATGGGAATTTCCTGTGCAAGTCCATCTAGGAAAAAATAAAAAAAATTAAAAAAAAAGAGAGAAAAGGATAAATTTATTTAATAAGTCAGTGATAGTCAGTGGTAATTAGTGACTGGGGAAAATCCCTGTTAGTACAACCATGTATGCTGGTGAGGAAAATGTGGATGAAGTAAGAAGGACTTACCAAACCAAGCTGTGGTGGCCACAAGTGCTGCCAGCAGAAGCATGTTTGCTGGTCCCGCTCAGCTGAGACTCAGAGGAGAGGGAAAGACCCTTGATGGGGACAGGGTTGAGTGGGAGGAGCAGACGTCTCCAGCGATGGCTCTTCTGGGAGTAACAGTGTGGGGCTAGGTTTGCAGAGAAACCACTGCAGCCTGGGAAAGGGCTTAGACCTGGGAATGCTCACGCTGCTGAGGACGTTGTCATCCCATCAGCTTTTCAGAAAGACTGGTAAGTCCAAGGAGCATGGCATGTGGCAACTTGAGGCAGAGCTGCTGAGAAGGGGTTGAGAGTGAGAGCAGCTGCAGCCATATATCAGGGCGTGAAGCTCCCAGCCCAGAGGCCACCCTGGTGGGCGTTGAGTGTGTGCGGTCCCCCGCAGTGGCAGGAGGCATGTCCCCACCCCGTCAGGGACCATGTCTTGCTGCCTCAGCCTGGCCACCCAGCTGCGGCCTGCCGAAATGCCCCTGTGCCTGTGCTGCCCCCACTGCAGCAACTCGTGGGGATCAACCTGCAGCAACCACAGCAGCATCCCCAGGAGCAGGAGCCTCGCCTGTGGTTTTCTGTGGGGAGGAAATGCACAGATGCAGGGCTTGGGTTTTGAAGCTGAGGTGAGCTGCAAGCACTTCTTGGGAAAAAAGGCTGGAAGAGAAAGGCAGAGAAACATGTCCCAAGTACAGTACTCTGCATGTCCCCCTCTCAGACATGGTGAGGTTGCCATCAGCCCATTTCTCCAGCCTGACAAGGTGTCTCTGGATGGCAGCATGTCCCTCTGGTGATGACAGTAGAGGTCTAGCATGACCCCCACTCCTCCCAGGTTGGTGTTGTCTACAAACATGCTGAGGGAACACTCTGTCCCATCATCCAAAGCCTTAAGGAAGATGTTAGACAGGACTTGACCAAGGGCTTTGTGCCACTGATCACCACCCTTGGGGCCCAACTGCTCAGCCCATCTTTCGGTCTCCTCGTCCAGCCCCTCACACCAACAGCCTTTCTCTAAGACTCTTACAGGTGACAGTGTCATGGGCTTTAAACAAGTCCCCAGACTATCTGCACTGCTCTCCCCTCATCCAGCAGGCTGGCCATTTCATTGTAGAAGTGTATGGGATTGGTCAAGAATGACTTCTCTGTGGTGAATCCATGCTGAGTACTGCTGATGATCTCCTTGCCGTCTGTCTGTTTGTTGGAGGCATAGGCCATGGCTGAGGACTTCACTTCTCTTCTGGACACCTCAGCAGAGAAACTATGATGATAAAGTGGCATTTCTGGTCTGTTGTAGGACTTTGTAGAGACTGAAATGCCAAGGAAGACAGTAGGAAAGTGGGAAGGAAAGTCTACCAAATCATGCAGTCTTCTCTCCTTGTTTCAGACACACGTCTTGTTTCAAGAGAGAGCACCAAATATGTAGAGATACATTGCTGTTCTTGCTCCATGGATTCAATAAAGAATTGAAATCTGCAGCTGCTGTTTGTTCATGAGGCACAGACAAGCTGTGTTCACTGCCAGGTGAGTGCTTTCCATATATCCAAGTCTTCAACTTAACAGAGATGTTCCCTATTTGTACTCTCAACTGACGGGGACCTGCAGCTTCTGCGTGTTACAGAGATGTGTGAATCTGGAAATAATATCCTGACTATTAACATCCTCTATTTAGCAGCTGTCACACTATGTTTTTGTTTTTCCCATACTATGGCAGAAATTCATCGGAGCAGGGCTGAATGACGAAGTATCTGCATTTGAGCAGAGCTCAGAGCTTGCGGTTCAGAGGGCCAAGTGCCTTTTTGTATGGTTTATCTTGGCCCATCTAACACTGTGATGCCTTGATATGAATACCAGTATGCACAGTAGTAAGTGCCAGCGTCCCTCTGGTTTACATTATTTATTTGGATAGTATAGAGAGGTTCAGAGGCACGCTTCCTGACTTGATACTTTCGTCTGTCAGAGCCATCATCAAAAACAGGATTCATTTCTGACACGTACAGTATCCTCTTGGGTGGCTCTCCAGGAAGCTGCTTGTACCAGTGCACGGTGTCTCCATTTCTTAGCTGGTATGTCATTACCACTGATCCTCCCTCAGGCTGTCTCCATGTAGCCGGGCTTTGCTCTGGCACTGCCTGTGTGTCTCCACCTGGAAGGGAATGGGGAGAAATTGGGTGAAAACTTGGTGAGGGCTTGAAACGTCTGCAGTCTGGAGCAGGGGCTGTGTTCTCCGCACAGGGGAAGGAGAGGAGAAAGGGAATGGGGCTTACGGAACCAACAAGAAGCTGCCAGCAGGATGGGCAGCAGCAGCATGCTGCCTGCTTGGGTGAAGCGTGGAACTGGAGTAGGGGCAGGAAGGTTATAAATCCCCCATGTGGAGAAGGAATCAAACAGCTCTGGGGAGGAAATGACTCATTTGGTATACCCAGTGGTGGTGTCTCCACTCTTTACCATTGCTGAGTGCTGAAGTTGAGGGCAGGGAACAGGGGCTTGCTGCTGCTTAATTATTTTGAGAAACTAAATCACAGGAACTGAAATGTAGAAATATCCATACTGAAGGTACTATCAACCTCAGCAGAGTCAGTGCAGTCCTTCTGTGGTTTCTGAAAACACCCAAGGTGCCTGGAAACATGGTTATTTCCTTCATCAGGAGACAAACCAAGTGTGGGAGAGGCTGACTCCTGGCTAATGAGAAATCCCAACAATGTACAGGGCTCTTTCTCTTATTTCAGCTGTGTTTTGACTGCATGGTCTGTCTTTCAAAGGTCTGAGCCCTCACAGTGACTGCCAGTCCAAGGCTGGCTGCTTGCTCCCACCAGCTGCAAAATCCTGTTCCTAATACAGTGCCTGATGAGAAAAGTGCATGATGGAAGGGCTTCTTTCATATCAAAAGGACTTTTTATCATTTCCTGGTGAAGCACTTGGCATCTGTAGCTCTTAGTTCACTAAACGGCTTGCTGTTGGTTTCCTGCCTTCATGGCAAAGCAGTCTGAAGTGAAAACCTGTTGCTGTTGGAAAAAATGTTTGTGGCTATGTGAGTGGGGGCAAAATGTGGATTTGGTAGCAGGGGGCTGCAGGGGTGGCCTCTGTGAGAAGAGTCCAGGAGCTGCCCCATGTCAGGTAAGAGCCAGCTCCAGAAGGCTCCAAAAGGGACTCACTGCTGACCCACCAGTGGCTGCATCTCCATGAGAGCAGATTCAAGAAAGAGAACTAAAAGAAAAACAATACTGCTGCACAACAGCAGCTGGGAGAGCGAGGAGTGAGCGCCAGCCCTGCAGCCCCCAGGTGAGTGCAGCAGGAGGGCAGGAGGTGCTCCAGGCAGGCAGCAGCAGTTCCCCTGCGGCCTGTGCAGGGAGAGGCCCCTGGTGGAGCAGGCTGTGCCCCTGCAGCCCATGGGTCCCTCATGGAGCAGATCTCCACACTGCAGCCCCCCCATGGGTGGAGGAGCCCCCGGTGGAGCAGGTGGATGTGGCCTGGAGGAGGCTGCGGCCCATGGAGAGCCCCCGCAGGAGCAGGCCCTGGGCCGGAGCTGCAGCCATGGAGAGGAGCCCACACAGGAGCAGGTGTCTGAGCCCCCATTCCCCGTTCCCATGTGCCTGACTCTTGGGGGGAGAGCACAGAAGATGGTGAATGGTGGTTTGGAGTGGGGGAGGAAAGTGTTTTTAGTTGCCTTTTTATTTCTCACTGTTCTAGAGTACAAGAACAATATAGGCAATACATTTCAATAACCTCTCTGAGTCTCCGTTACCCTTGATGGTAATTGGTGAGAGATCTCCTTGTCCTTAAGTCAAGCCTGGAGCCCTTTCATCGTACTTTCTTCCCATTTTCCTTTGATTAGGTGGAGTGAGAGAGTGGTTGTGGTGTATTTCATCTTTCCAGCTGGGAAAAACCACCAGAACCAGCAAAACGTCAGCTGGAAAGGGAAGATTGCTCTTGTATAGATTCAGGTCCACCATCCAGGTCTGGTTGGAAGGAGAAGACAAACCCAGGCTAAACCTGGGAATTGAGTTCATACAGTTCAGAGTCTGAAAAATATCAACCCCCTGACCCAATGACCCAAAAAGAGAACTTTTTTTTTTTTTTTCCCTTAATCTTTTCTTTATAAATCTAATGCATAGTAAAGCACTGACTGTCAGGTTAAATTCCTTTATTTAACTTTCTTTCTCAAGCCATGGGCTTTGAAAAGCTCTGGGACAACATCCTGAGTTATTTCCAGGGACAGCAGCATGGAAAATTGTACATCCCTGGTAAAGAATTCCTTAAAACCAGTTCCCTGCCTCACTTGAGTAAAGTCAGGGGAAGAGAAGGTGCTGACGTTGAGTTAGGCATTTGCCCTTCACTGTTCCCTTTGCACGTGCCACTTGCTGCGTTGAAATCCCCAGCTTTTGGCAGCTGCCCCCTCCAAGGAGTGGCTCAGCACTGAGCCAGTCCCGGCTGTGCAGAGCCTGCGTGTTGAGGCCATGCGGCTCATCCACGCCAGGGGAAGTGAGTTGGGATCTTTCAAATCGTTTGTGGTTGAGCCTCTGAGGGAGTATTGGTCGAGGTGATCACTGGGTTTCTGCTGTAGTGGGGGTCCCAGTAGGCACAGTAGTAGGTAGCAGCAGCATCTGGAGCTATGTTTTTTATTGTAAGAGTACACATTTTCTGGTCAGAAACTGTTTCAACTGCATACATGCGTCCTTGGAAGCTCTTCTCCTCTATTTTGACCTGAGGTGAAATGTAGAACATCCACTCTGGAGCATTATTCTCCTTGTGTTGGTACCAGTGTATGGTGGTGCTATCAAAATTTGCAGAGATGTCTTTAAAATGACATTGCAGACGTGTACTTCTTTCAGACTTCGTAATGGATATAGGGGTTTGTATGGGAATTTTCTGTGCAAGTCCATCTAGGAAAAGAAAAAAAAAGAGGTAAAGGGAAAAAAAAAAAACACAGGAGAAATGCTGTTTTTAACTAACAATTAGGGATTTGGGAATATATCCCTTATGCAACCATCTTAGCCTGTGAGGCAACCATGATTGCCTGTGAGGAAAATATGAAGTAGAAAGCACTTACCAGACCAAGTGGCGGTGGCTACAAGTGCTGCCAGCAGCAGCATGTTTGCTGGTCCCGCTCAGCTGAGACTCAGAGGAGAGGGAAAGAAACCCCAGATGGGGACAGGGTTGAGTGGGAGGAGGACGTCTCCAGCGATGGCTCTTCTGGGAGTAACCGTGTGGGGCTACGTTTGCAGAGAAACCACTGCAGCCTGGGAAAGGGCTTAGACCTGGGAATGCTCACGCTGGTGAGGACGTTGTCATCCCATCAGCTTTTCAGAAAGACTGGTAAGTCCAAGGAGCGTGGCATGTGGCAACTTGAGGCAGAGCTGCTGAGAAGGGGTTGAGAGTGAGAGCAGCTGCAGCCATATATCAGGGCGTGAAGCTCCCAGCCCAGAGGCCACCCTGGTGGGCGCTGAGTGTGTGCAGTCCCCCGCAGTGGCAGGAGGCATGTCCCCACCCCGTCAGGGACCACGTCTTGCTGCCTCAGCCTGGCCACCCAGCTGCGGCCTGCCGAAATGCCCCTGTGCCTGTGCTGCCCCCACTGCAGCAGCTTGTGGGGATCAACCTGCAGCAACCACAGCAGCATCCCCAGGAGCAGGCGCCTCGCCTGTGGTTTTGTGTGGGGAGGAAATACACAGCTGCAGGGCTTGGGTCTTGAAGCTGTGGAGCAAGCACTTCTTGGAAAGAAAGAGTGGAAAAGAAAAGCAGAAAACATGTGCCATGTGCAGGGCCCTGTATGTCCCCCTTACGCATCATGAGGCTGCTGTCAGCCCATTTCTCCAGCCTGACGAGGTGCCTCTGGATGGCAGCATGGCCCTATGGTATATCCCCCACTCCTCCCAGATTGGTGTTGTGAACAAACATGCTGAGGGAACACTCTGTCCCATCATCCAAAGCATTAAGGAAGATGTTAGAAAGGACCAGACCCAGAACTGATTCCCGGGGTACACTGCTAGTACACTACTAAAGGCCTTTCAGAGGCCTTTGTGCCACTGATCACCTCCCTTGGGGCCCAACTGCTCAGCCCATCTTTCGGTCTCCTCCTCCAGCCCCTCACATCAGCACTCTTTCTCTTAGGCTCTTAGGGGTTACAGTGTCAAGGGCTTTAATCAAGTCCCCAGACTATCTGCACTGCTCTCCCCTCATCCAGCAGGCTGGCCATTTCATTGTAGAAGTGTATGGGATTGGTCAAGAATGACTTCTCTGTGGTGAACCCATGCTGAGTACTGCTGATGATCTCCTTGCCGTCTGTCTGTTTGTTGGAGGCATAGGCCATGGCTGAGGACTTGTCTTCTGGACACCTCAGGGAAGAAACAGTGATGATAAAGTGGCATTTCTGGTCTGTTGTAGGACTTTGTAGGGACTGAAATGCCAAGGAAAAAAGCAGGAAAATGGGAAGGAAAGTCTACCAAATCATGCAGTCTTCTCTCCTTGTTTCACATGCGCAGCTGATTTCAAGAGGGAGCAGCAAGGGGATGGTTTTATATTGGTCTGCTTGCTCCATGGATTCCAATAAACAATAGAAATCTTCAGCTGCTGTTTCTTCACAAGACACAGACAGGCTGCGTTCACTTTGTACTTTCTTTGCTGTCATCTTGACAGCAAAGTTCCCATTTGCACCTCAGGAGTGCTATGAAAATGTGAAGGACCTAGAGGAGAAGACATATGAGGAGCGGCTGAGGTCACTTGGCCTGTTCATCCTGGAAAAGAGGAGGCTGAGGGGAGACCTCATTGTGGCCTACAGCTTCCTCACAAGGGGGAACAGATGGACAGGTGCCAATCTATTCTCCTCAGTCACCAGTCATAGGACCCTCGGGAATGGTGTCAAGCTGAGGCAGGGGAGGTTCAGGCTAGACATCAGGAAGAGGTTCTTCACCGAGAGGGTGGTCACACACTGGAACAGGCTCCCCAGGGAAGCAGTCACTGCACCAAGCATGTTGGAGTTTAAGAAGCAATTTGTCTGTGCACTTAGTCACATGGTCTAAAAATCTGGGTAGACTTGTGTGGTGCCAGGAGTTGGACTCAATGATCTTTATGGGTCCCTTTCAGCTCGAGATATTCTATGATTCTGTGGTTCATTTGATAGGGCCCTGAAGCTTCTGCTTGTTACAGAGATGTGTGAGTTTGGAAATAATATCCTGATTATTAACATCCTCTATTTAGCAGTTGTCATGTTACGTTGTTGTTTTTCCTATCCTATGGCAGAAAATCATCAGAGCAGAGCTGAATGAGGAAGTATCTGTGTTTGGGCAGAGCTCATAGCTTGCGGTTCGGAGTGCCAAGTGCCTTTTTGTATGGTTTATCTTGGCCCATCTAACGCTGTGATGCCTTGATAATAATACCAACGTGCACAGTAGTAAGTGCCAGTGTCCCTCTGGTTTAAGAAATCAATTGTGAGACTATAGAGAGGTTGAGAGGCATGTTTCCACACTTGATACTTTCGGCCATCAGAGCCATCATCAAACGTTGGACTCTGTCCCGACACGTACAGTATCCTCTTGGGTGGCTCTCCAGGAAGCTGCTTGTACCAGTGCACGATGGTATTACTGCTCAGCCGGCACTCCATTCTGGCTGAGCTGCCCTTCACCTGCCTCCGCATCGCCGGGCTTTGCACCGGCACCACCTGTGCGTCTCCACCTGGAAGGGAATGGGGAGAAATTGGGTGAAAACTTGGTGAGGGCTCGAATCGTCTGCAGTCTGGAGCAGGGGCTGTGTTCTCCACACACAGGAAAGAGAGGAGAAAGGGAACAGGGCTTACGGGACCAACAAGAAGCTGCAAGAAGGATGGGCAGCAGCAGCAGCATGCTGCCTACTTGGGTGAAGCGTGGAACTGGAGTAGGGGCAGGAAGGTTTTAAAGCCCCCCAGGTGGAGAAGGAGTCAAACAGCTCTGGGGAGGAAATGACTCATTTAGCACACCCAATGTTGTTGCCTCAACTCCTTACCATTGGTTTGGGTGGGGTGAGGTGGATGGACAGGGGGCTGCTGCTGCTTAAATATTCTGGCAAACTAGACCACAGCAATGAGAATGTAGAAAGGACGTAGGAGATTCGATCTGAAGTCATTTTGTTCCTGTGTCCCTGTGGTACCTTCCACCCAGACTCACCTGGAACTCCTGCTGAGCACACACATTCACTTTGGTATGTTCCTCCTGCCTGCTCCCAGGACGCTCTCTTCCCCTCAGACCCCACCGCTGTCCTAGAAGCACGTTTCCCCAGCCTTCCTTAGAAAATACAACCTGCTCTGGAAACTCTGTGGGCCAGTTCCTTGTGACTTTTGTCTTACTCTTGCTTGGAACAGGTCCAGTGGGTCTTCTCTGCCTCAAATGAGAGGTGCAGCTGGCCTTTCTTTGGTGGATCCCTGGTGGATGTGAGAAATCCGTGGGAGACACGTGCATACCTGATGCAGCTCTTTGCTGCCCTCTACTTTTTCGTGCTTTTAATCCATTCTCCCTACAGACAATATCTGTGCTTGAAGGTGCTCAAACCCACGTGCAGGAACTTGCACTTGGATCTGTGTAGATTCACGAGGTTCACATAGGCCCTGATTTAAACAGATTTTATTTCATAGTCCTGATCCTGAAATATGCCAGGATTTTTCACCTTGGAGATAATGACAGCTCCATTTTGGGAACTGCTAATACTGGATTATCATACAAAATTAGAAATAATCCTTCTTGGAGAACAATTGGTCTTGTGACACCTGAGAGGTGTTATAAGTTGCCCCCTTAATTAATTTTCAGAGAGCATTGCATTAATAATAGAAAGGAATTTACTGAGTAAGCAACAGCAAGCAAAACAGCGCTGGGCGGCCGGGGAGTCTCGGCTCCGCCAATGGCGCGCACCTCACCCCCGCCAGGGTCCCTTTTTATAACTTGGTAATTCCAGGATTATGCAGCACATCCTGGTATATTCTGCGACTGCGCGCACTGTTGCTAGGGGGTCGTCTCTGTCCCTCTGGTGGTCGTGAAGATGAAGGCCATAGTCTTCCTCGGCGTTGTGGTTCAACTTCTTTTTTTTATTTGGTCATGTTGGCCCAGCGTGAGACAGGAAGGCAGGATGTTGATACACTAGTGTAGCAACTTATCAGGAAATGGTTACATGAGCTTTGCAGCAGGGTCTTTAAACAAAAGAGGCAACTGAGATGCAGAAGGAGAGAAGGGGGGGTGGGGTTCTCTTTTTTGTTACATTAAGCAAAAGAATTTTCATAGTGTCTAGCCAAGCATTATACAGCTCCTTACTTCAGCAGGGAGTTTTCACAACTCCCATTCCTCAAACAGAACTCCTTGTTTTTATAATACAAAAGACAATGAACAAACATTTATTGTGTATTACAAGAGGTGTCTTGAAATTTATCTTCAAGTTCTTTAAACCTCTGACTTAACTTCAGAAAGACTGCTAAGAGTGTGTATTTAAGTACCACCTTTCCGTATATATCGCCTGTTTGTGCTTGACTTTCATCTGATAAATAAACCATATTTTAGGAGCACCTCCCAGCTCCTAACAGCAGGTGTGGCGTACTTTACATCATCCAACAGTCCAGGAAAAGTCAACAATCTTGGAAGAAAAGGCAAGATGTTCAGGATTTTGCAAATTAGAATACTTCTCATTGACTCTTCTGAGGACTGTGCTTATATTGATTTGCTCTGGAGTAGCAAGAGGGAGCTGCAGCAAACAGTGCTACATAACTCCTATGACTGCCCCTTCAAAACTGCAGGCACTATGTAGTCCTTCTTGTCTTCTGCTTAGGAGAAGGGCAGTGCAGCTGTCTTCAGCTGAAGATAATTTGAGAAGGACTTTAAGGTAGAGTTTTTCTCTCATAAGAAATTCCCCCCACATCCAAGATGGCCACCTGTCCCCCAGCCACTTATCGTAGCACTTCTCCCTTCCTTGTTCCTCTCTGTCTCAGGCACCTCTAATTCCTTTCCAAGCATCTCCTGGGCTTTTGTCTCATAAAGCAATTGCTTGTTTTGTCTTAAGAGGCAAAGCCCCTAAGTCTGGCAGCCAGTGAGGGCAGCTGCCTGCTCACTCCTCAGCAGGATGGTTGAACTGGCAAAAGTACTTTTCAACAGTGCCTCAGCTAAGAGAATGAAGATTTGGGTTTCCCCTTCCAGTTTGTAGGACATGAGGGAAAATTATTCTGGCTCTGTCACAGCCCTGCTTGCAGATTTAAGGCAAATGTTTGAATTTTAAAGAGGGGCAATATCCCAAATCTGCCAGTCTCCTACAGTCACTCAGCATCTCTTAAAAGCCTGTTCTTAAATCTTGTGGTACTACAGCTCTTTTTAATCAGTCATTGTCTGCTTACTTCAGCTTACAGCTCTCAAGGGACAATTTCACAGAGGGTTTGATGAGGAGCAGGACCCATGCTTGGAGCTCCATGTCACATACTACAAATCAGTAGTTGTGGGAAAAGACAGGAAGATAAATCAGCATGGAAATGATTTACTTAGCGAGTCTTCTCCACAAGGACCAAGGGAAGGGGCAGTGATGCTAGACAAATAAGCTGTAACATCTCTACACAAAACATTCATGGTGTTTTGGGGCTGGTGCCTCTGCAAGCACATCTTTGCAGTAGTTTTTGTGGAGGAATGGCAGAAGGCTAAGGAAGTGGCTGTGTGTAGTCCTACATGGCACAGTAATACCACCTGCTAGCTTGGATGTCCCACTTGTGCAGCAGCAGCACGCAGGTGTCTTTGCATATGTAGACAAGATATTTCCTTTTGGAGAAACCAGTAGTCCAATTTATATTTTGTGGTGGGGTGGAGGGCAGTTTTCAGGCAGTTTTTGGTGCCAGACGGCGTAGGTTTACTTTGGAGGTAAATTAGGCAGTGTCCCCTGGGAGTGGCTGGGCTGTGATGAAGGCGTACCCAGAGAACACCAGGAGGGAGAGAAGGGAGAAGGCAGCAGGGGTGGGGATGCAGCAAGAAGGCCTTATTCCTGGCTAGGGGGCACACAGCAGTATCCTCAAACCACAGGCACCCCCTGCACAAGGAAAGGACACTGAAGTTTACTCCCCGCTTCTGTCAAAGACATAGTGCACAGAGGGGGAGAAACAGTAAGCCTTAGCTGCAGTGTGTGGGTTGTTTTGCACACAATTGCTAGCCATCACGCAGCAGAACCACGCCATTTGTCTGCAAGTTATCTGCAAAGTGTCAGTTGAGCTTGGGATTTGGGTAATAAGACATCACTGATACGGAACAGTATATTTAGGCTGGGGGGACAAATGGAAGTGTAATGTAAAACCAAGATGAAATAACTCATACATAAAACTTACTTACAAGGCAAGAGACAAGCTTGCAGACTTTTCAAGAAGCCCATAATTTTTCATAGCTCTGCCACAGCTCCTCAGGAAAAGTTCAGAGATACTGGTATAGTTCAACTCTAAGAGACAGAAAGAAATTTAAAAATATATCTGCTGATACCCCCCATACCCCAATGCAATGAATTGGTGGAGGCAGGTGGTGCAATGGGTTAATTTCCTGTTAAAAAGAGAGGCAGAATGCATGTCAGTGTGAAGATCTGGTGACACCATTGGCAAGGTGCAGGCTAATGGTCCACAGCACGTCTGGAAGGCAGTAAGAGAGAGCAGTGATGAGGAGGCAGTCAGTAGAAATATGCCCCTACACTGAGGCAGCAACATTCTGCTGTGTCTGCGCAGCTGAGATTCACAGGGGGCAAACCTGACTCAGGGACAATGTGCATCACTGATGGTGCAGATGGGAGAAGACTTATATCAATGTGCTACACTGTCTGAGAAGTAAATAGCTCTTCTGTAGCCATGATAAATCAGTGCACAGCTTGCTGTATACCTTTCTGGCCACCCGTGGACCTATTTTTTCTCTTTTGTTACCTAGTTTCTGCACAGTGGGGCAGCTCTTGCTTTCTGGAACATAATGTCATACTATGCGGCATCAGACACGTGGTTCTACATAAACAGTGACCAGAACCTTTAAAAACATTTTAAAAATTGAAAATAATATGTACTTACAGGGGAAGAGACAAGCTGAGAAGGTTTCCAGTAAGCCTGCTGTGCCTCTGCTGTTGCCCTCCTCGAGGGCCCAGCAGCACTGTGTGCTCCCAGGCAATGAGTACTCTGGGGCTGAACGAGCAAGATGAGAGACAAACTCCAAAAACCTCCAATACTAAAATGTGGAGAATCATCAGCTGTTGTTGCTTCAAGTCTCTTGGAAAGTTTCAGGTTTTGACTGTGAAAGGATGAACAGGTACACACAAGGCCTGAGGGGGAACGAGAGGTCATGTCACCATGGACTGAAACCAAAGTGGGTGTCTCTCTCCACTGAAAGGGAGACCTACAGAGTTTGATATTTATGAGAGGGGAAAAATTGATAAAATGGCACATTAGTTCCCATTAGATATACCAGAAGAGTGAATAGGTCTTCAAAGCATAAAGACTGTGCACTGAATTTCCTTGAAAAGTTGACACAACTCATGACTTTACACCACTGTGTTGAATTTAATTCCAGCTCCCAACACTGCTCTATTGGACTTCTGCATTGCCTCTTACTGGCAAACATTCCCAGCTCTAACTCTCCTCCATCTTGTAGACAAAACCCTATGGGCATGATAACAGCCATGTGTGAGCTCTTCCTTACTCCAGGAAAAACTGGGGTGAGGGGGAAGGAGTCATGTGATAGAAAAGGTCTTTTGGCCAGAAACCTTGCACCGATTAGATTTGTTTGAAACCCTCACCTCACAAACTCACATTTCCTGGCAGTACCATTACCATTACCATTACCATTACCATTACCATTACCATTACCATTACCATTACCATTACCATTACCATTATTGTCCCAGACCTCTTGGAAAAGGGAAAAAACACAAAGTAGGAATACTATGAATTTTATGCTGCTTTGCTGACACAAACTGAGCAGGCAGTATAGAAAAGTGGTGGAATATTTTACTTACTGGGGTTAATCCTACATGAGTACATCCCTACATCCACTTTCTACCTCCTTGTCTGTTTTGAGGATTCCATTTAGGGTGAAAGGTGGTTTGGTGCAGTATTTTTGTAGCCTCAAGGGCCATGGACAGGAACTGAGCACAGCCCCTTGCAAGCAGCTGGCTTGCTGGTTTTGAGCACTCCAACATTAAAAAACTGCTAACATTCATTTAGTAGTGCTGTTTCAGCAGGCAGTCAAATACTGCAGTGCTCTGCTAATTCATAGGAACAATAGTCATCCCAGTGAAAGCAAGCCATGGGTAGGTGAATGGACAGAAGCAAAGACAGGAGTAGACATGTAAGAAAGTTGTCAGGGAAGCTGACTTTACAGATCAAAGTCATGCCACTGAGCTGGAACATGAGGCCATTTTCAGGTTTTAAAGTGTTTTCTCATTGTTAATAATCTGGCTGATTATTTAAACACAGGTGGAATATAAAGTTATTTTAAGCACAGGTAGCATAGATAATTAATTTCTTCTCTTACCCTAATGTTGTATCTTTGAGTTCAATCAGCTGAGTAACTTGTTACTCAGTGCAGATTTTCCATAAGCAACTGCTCTGGTTTGATCAATGGCATGAGTTTTAATACCTATGAGACACAAAGTTATGTTGCAGCAATGAGTTAGGGTGCAGCTTGATAATGCACTTTTCTATCTTTGTTTGCATGCATGCTGAAGTACCCGGTCACTGTGTACATAAGGCTGGTTTGCATCTGCTACTGCACTGAATTCGCCCTGTGTGCCTGCAGCCATGAGCCAAGTTTGGATAATGAGACTTTTTGAATAAATTCATATCTGAAGATTTAATCAAATGACAGCTCGAGACCGGTCAGTACAAATTCTAGCGTCTGCCACCCTCTACTGGTGTGAAGGAGTAAAACTCTCAGAAGTCCTTTACAAGCAGCTGTGTAGTAAATACGGATGGATGCTGAGAACGCCTATAATACACTGTTTTTTGTTTGTTTTGTTGTTGGTTTGGTTTGGTTTGGTTTAAGAAAAGCATTTATGCACCAGTAACTTTTATTTTCATGATTACTTTCTAAATAGTCAGCAGTGTGATGTTCAGTCTTGGGCTAGGAGATACACAAAGATCCTTAGCGTGCTTCTCCGGTAAAACATGTGTCTTATAGGCTTAAAATAGAGTGTTTTGAATCACCATGAACAACTACAGACAATTTTCACTTTCAGTTATGTCTCTACAAGAGAGAGTTAGGAGTTACAGCATTGTGCCATGTATGGGGTCTGTCAGATTTTGGACACAGAGAATTTTGCATGAGAGAGAATTTTGCATGACCTTCTCATTTAGCAATTTTATCATAACACACACAAGTTATTCCTTGAGATTACATGGTGTTTTGTTTTGTTATTTATTTACTTTTTATTCACTGACACACAGCTAGATTATTTCTTCTATTGCAGCTCAACATGTTTAAATTAAAGAAAAAAAATCAAAGTTTTTATATAGAATTCAGCTTTCTTCTGCATAATTACCTGAAATGCAGGTATAGGAAGCCTGAATTACATTCCACTCCTTTGAAGCACATACCTTGGAAAATCAATAATTTAATTTTAAAGTAACATAACTTTTCAGGGTTTTGGTGTTCTTGGTCCAGTTATGCATCATGCTAGCAGCAGTACGCTAGCCAACTACGCAGGCACAATTAGTCACCTGTGGTTAGCTTGGGGTGCACCAAAGCCTCTGCTCTGGCAGCACCGCAAGAGACCCCCAACCTGTTTTCTTCTCTGAAGCAAGGTTGAAGATGTATAGGACTTCGGTACTTGTTCTTAGCAACCATGAGGCTCTTCTTATAAAAGGTAGACAGGCAAAATAACATTCCTCTGTGCTTTGTGCCAGGAGAGCCACCCAGAACCCAATTGGACTTACTCTTCTGACAGCTCATGAAGAATTTTGGAGCCCTGGGGTATTAGGAGCTGTATTGCCCAGGTTAGTACATGCACACTATGAATGAATGGTGGATGGTGGCCTTGAGCACTGGGACTGCAGCATATCCCCGTAAGGGCAGAGGAGGTCAATCCTCCTTGACTGATGTGGGTCTCTCTGACTCCTGGAGACCACAGTTCTGATGGCTACATGTTGGTTTGTTCCCTGTGTTGCGTTTAGTGGCTGTGGCTGGACAGAAGTCCTCTATATATATGCACAGTGGTACTTTTACTAATGTCTTAAGCATATTCTTTCACTAAAGTTTCCTTTAGCTGCTTTGAAGCATCTGAATCTGAAGCATGATTCCCTTTGGACTGGTTTCAGCTCTGTCAAATGATTGTTAATTACGAGTTCTTCCTGTTGGTTACAGGAGACCCCATTTAGAAAGTGTTGCAGTTTTCCCCATATGATGCTCGTGTGCTGAAGTTCAACACAGGTCAGACTGAAGATATCCATCCAAGAGCAACACAGCAGGTTTGAAATGCTGCTGGAGACAGGGAACACACAAAGGTAGCATCAGGGCTGAAATCACATGGGTAAAGACCTAGCAGATAAATACTTGAAAAGTGACTACCATATATATAATACATATTTAGGGAGATGATGAACCCCAAACACACCCCGCTTCATAGTTTCTAATACTGAACCCTCAGCTGCAGCAAACGTCTTGCCACCAGAGAGCACATCAGAGCTAGCAGTGAACACTGCTCATTACAGGGGATGGAAAAACATCTTCATGCTCTTTTGTACTGCTTTCAGAAATTCGACCTTGCTTAATTAATGGAACTAACTACTTTCTGTAGGCAGGGATTGGCTTATTAAATGGTACGTCATTAACTGTGACCTTACTGTTTTAAATACAAAAAGTAGAAGACAGATCTTTTAAATCTCTTTTAAAGGTGACCAATAACAACTTTATTTTGGCTTTCAAGTGACTGAATGGCTGCTCATACTTTGCCTGTCCAGTCTTGCAAACTGCACCTACAGCCAGCAACTGCTCTTTCACCAACCCCAACCGTTTATCTTACCTGTCATAGTGACATGCTTTTGATGCCCTTTCCCTGAGCCAGCAAGACACTTTAAAATTTTTTCATTAAACATGATCTTCAAGAGACTATGATTTACTTCATGTCTTCCTGGCATTGGGGCAGTAAAGAGAGCATCCTGGAATGCCAGTCTGAGGAGGACCGTACCCCACAGCCTCCCCGCCCTCTTCTCCTGGGGACAGGTGCATCCAGTTCTGAATTCTGGAAGGGGTGGAACAAGGGACAGGGATCAGGAAGAGGAGGAGGAGGAAAGGGACAGAAGCATCATTCATCTTGAGCACTTTCCATTATTCATGAAACATTGTAAACCGGATAGACAAGCCGCAAATAAACAATTTATTAGTTCAGTCGCATGAGATGCTCCTCTATCTTCAGCTACTTTCTCTTACTTCCAAGGCCACACCGTGCGAAGCCAGCCTGCAGGTCCAGGAGATTGGGCCCCTTACTCTTCCAAGGGTTCATTTCATGTAAAATTAGAAGTTATAGTTGCTGTAGAAGGTTAGCAGTATGTGCTGTCGCAGGCATAAATAAGCCTTTAGAGAAATCAAGACACAGTGGGATATTGTTTTACAATCACCCTGAAAGCATGAAATTCAGTAATTCACCAAGTTCAATGTAGTGTATTAATCAGAAAAATCCAAGCAAAGGGGGAAAATACTTCTGGGCTAATACAACTACAGGGGGGAGGTTATTGGTATGTAACAGCAGTACATACTGGAAAAAAAATTCCCTTGCTTTCCGATGAATAGGCTTCTATAAATCACAGAGAAATACATTTATTTCATACTGTTCATCTCAGGAGCTGCAGAAATAAAAGTGTCTGAGAGAGAAGTCTGCTTGTCTTATGAAACTAGAATAAGAAGAATCAAATATGAGAAACAGCTGTTAATCCCAAATGATAAATGTTTCTATCCACCAGCTAGTTTTCTATTCATCTTTCAGAAGGTAAAATTAAGAAAATTATTATTATGGCCAGCTATCAGTGTCCTTCCTTTAGCATCTATCATCTCGGTGTGTGAAATTTTGCAAGGAATTCTAAAGATAACATTAATAATACTCCTCATCCTTCCCACAAGAAGTCTATTTGCTTTGTGGCTCCAAGGTGCATGGGTGAGATATGAAGACATACTTAATGCCAGAATGGTGTTATATCCACAGTAACCTGCAACACATAAATCACACACGCATCATGTGCAATAGCATGGCTGCTGGGACGTTTTCAGTACTTCTTATTGCCAGTAAATAATGACATTGCTTGCAGTGAGTAGACGTCTGATGGTTTTTGCAATTACATTTTTCTTTATACTGTGGTGGATTTAAGAAACAGAGATTAAGCAGCATAGCTGATCATGAAAGCTCTTCTCTGTATATCAGAGACCTTTCCCATCTCTATACCATCTCGTGTACTGCAAACCCCTTACCAGTGAATTTAGCATATTGACCTGTACTAAGGTTATTAGAAGAATCAAGGTCAAGGATATTGAATTCGACTTTCGTACTTCTAGGAAGAAAAGGGCATAAAGGTAACTGCACACAATCACCACTGGGTAAAGAAATGCCATAGAGATATCACACCATTCTTTGCTTCTTAGTGTTATGGCTGTTATGCATGATGGTCCAACTTGATTGTAGGCCTCTGTCAGAGAAGTGGCCACATAGCATCTGCAGGGAAACTGAGGCTCCATTGTCCAATGTGGGTCTGTTGCATGTGTGATCTGTAGAGCAGCTATGCTGAAATGCAATGTTGAGATCTAGGTAAGCAGGAAACTGTGGCCTGGAGGTCATCAGTCGCACCATAAATCAGGTTTAATAGGTTATTATGACCACCCTAAAGTGGTGTACTGGAATTTGGAATTTATTGCAACACCAAAAACAAATGAGAAGTTGCTCCCTTGGATAAATTCTTGCCTCTGGATTACTATTGATTGCCAAACCTGTTAAAGGAATGAAAGGAAAATCAAAGGGCCTCCCACAACCTCCTGAGACTCTGATTGCTCATTGTGACACTTTACAGCTAAAATCCCAGTTACCACAGTTGAGCCACTCAACTTCTCCATAAAACACAGTTATCAACAGTTTCTTTAGAAAGCTACTGTACTCTGAAAGACAGAAAGAAAACTACTTTCCTCTTCTTTTAGAGCAACAAAAAAAAATCTTTCTTCAATTGAAATCCGACAAATTAGAGTAGAAACTGCCTATACATAAAAACAGCCCACAACCAAAACATCACAAAAAATAACTGAATTGCTTAAAAAAAAAAAAAAAAAAAAAAAAAAAAAGGTGTTCCTAAATAGTTGTAGCTTTCATGCATCAGCAAATAGAACAGAGCATATTTATGGGGATTTTTCTTTTCACAGAAGATAAGTGGACAAGCATAAAAATGAGTAAGAGGTAGCAATCTTCAGCTGCGTGACAGGCACAGACATGCTCCCTTGTGATTGTGGACAGATACTAGCTGGTTGCCAGAGTCCATTTCCAGAAGGAGCAGCGAGGGGATGCGCTGAGCCTTTTGGAGCCTTGACCATGACTAAAGTTGAGAGCAAGAATTTAGATGGTACGCCTGTTATGCTGTGTTTCTTTGGAAAAAGTATTATTAAAATAAGATTAGATTCTCTAATACAACACGTGAACTATGTGAAATTCTTTGTAACAAAACTTCAAAAGCACCACAGATGAAACAGCTTCTTTGGATCAAAGGTTTATTTTTAATGACACAGCACTGGAAAACATAAGTTACAGATGACTTTTTGATACAGGATACATTATATATCTTAATTTAAAAGGATCTGTGAAGGTATGCTGCATAAATACATATAGTGAAAATATATTGTGTTTATTTCTCATAGATTAGTTCTTTTTTTTTTTTTTTCTTATTCAGCCAATTAAATAAAAAAGTATAGATTAGCATCATAACAGCTCCCCCTCCAGATTATCTCATTGTAACTACTGCAGCTGGAAGAGGAGACTGAGCCATGCCTTCTCAAAGGTTTAGCAGCTTTGAACATGATGTTATTCATCATCTCAGAATGAAAATTTCACATTACAAACACAGATACTGTATAATGTTTTGGCAATGGAGCAGCTAGTTTTGCTTTCAAACAAAACTGTTTCCTGTAATGCCAGACAGTGAAAGAGCAATGCATGTACTGATGACACTACACAGTCAAAGAACTACGATGACATTGTGAAAATGCATATATATCCATATGCACTTATATATACACGACTTCTTGTGTGTATATATATATTATGCATGTCCAAAAATAACATTGAAAAACATTGCAGCAGTTAATTATCTTTTTTAAACACATGAAACTTATAATAGTTTGACCTCATTACTACAGGATTACTAATTAAATCTTCTGCAGTGCAACTCAATACAATACACTTAGTGCAGAGAAGTTAAGGTTTTGGTATTGAGGAGGCTAATTTCAGATTTCATGGGAAAGGACCAAATACAGGATCACCATAGCTCTGACAAAGCACAAGCAAACCTGTTGCCACATACATGTGAACAAATAAGGACATTTCTTTTTTATTTGATTTTTTTTTTCCACATACTGCTTCAGAAATTGCTAGCTTAACTGTTTGCACTCATGCTCATTTTGATATGTTTCCACAAGCTTTGTCTGGCACCAATCTGTAAACCATTAACAGCTTAAACTACAAAAAAGTGGGCTCCTGTGTTTCAAAGAGGTTAAAAACCTACTGAATGAGCTTCATGCCACATTCCTGTGCCTGAGAGAAGAACTACTCCAGATGGCGTGTGAAGTTCTCTGGGAAAAGTCCTTTGTAACTATTTGCATCCCTGTACTGAAGCCACTCGGATTCCTTAATGCCTGTCAACCAGCCAGCCTCCTGTAAGAAAAAGACAGAGTCTTAAATTTCAGGTCTCCCCACTTTCTTTTTTACGTGCTTCAGACCTGAAGAGGTTTTAGAGTCACCTGGCTAAAAGAT